TAATTTTCGCACATTTTAACTGCCTTCAAACCAGATTTGCCGATGGGACAAAGCAAAATCACAAAAAAATGTCTCTTGGAATGAGAAAATGCAGCAACAGTTTTATAAACAGGACTAAATGTCTAAATGTCCTGCTCTAATTTGGATAAAAAGCACTGGCTTCAAACCTGAACTACAACTGTTTTATTGTGTTTGTAAGTGCGCAATTTTTACCTCATATTTATCATTTTCTGCAGTGTAAAAACTTGAATGATCACGACAATAAACATACAACATGAGGACCACACAGAGAACCCCCAGAGTCCGGCCGGCGGCTCATCACACCAAAAGGAAGATTTTCATTTGCTTTGGCCACGCGCCGCATTCCTCCCATCAGGCTTTGCACAGGAATGTACCGCTCCGAACCCAGACCCGCTGCAGCACCTCATAAAGACTTCAACCGTCTCCGCGGCAACGTCATCACCCATCATCCTCCGGCCAACGGGACCCGAAGCTGAAGGAGAGGCCGCTAAATCCTGCTCCGTGTCACAAACTCCACCCTCACGATGTTAACACAGACTGTATACAGATGGACAATGCTAACACAGACTGTATACAGATCAAGCCCCGGTGATCCAAGATGGCGCCCTATTCAAATGAATGGCTTGTGCTCAGTAGCGCATGGGACTTCCTGGAGACCGGGAGATTAGCAGAACTCGGCTATATATGGGCATCGCCTGGTCCTCCCGGTTCTGCGCAGTGGACGAGCTTCCATAATGCTTTGCGCCAAATACGCGTGTGTGGCTTTCATGCATGCACACAGAGGGGCTCGGCCGCGCTCTGACCAATCAAAGCTGCTGATCAGAGCAGCGGAAGAGCGGAGCCAGAGCGGGAAGGAAAGGAGCAGAGTTTGTGGCAGTAAAGTGTGGATTTAAAGAAAGGATTTAAGAAGAAAAAAAGTTCAGGATGACAAGGGACGCAAAAATCCCCACAAAATCCAATATATCTGAAAGCTGTAGGTTCTCTGTCAGCTGAGGTCAAGCTGTTTTAGTTTACATTGAGTTCTATGGGACTTTTTTCTGGGTAGCCCTTAGTCTGCAGTACCACGAGCGCCCTCTGTGCCCGTAGGTGGGACAGCTTTTAGCTAGTAATACCCTATCCAGTTATTATTATAGATCCATGATACAGATGGACAATACTAACACAGACTGTATACAGATGATAATGCTAACATAGAGTGTAGATCGATGGACAATGCTAATGCATAAATATGGTTCTACACAAAAGAACTGAATCGGGTCTGCCCCGGGCAGCTGTGGCTGCTGTACTAGTTGACCACCACATAATCCACGTGTCCACTACGTTTTTGCTCCCGTGAATAATTCCCCGGGATTTTCATGTTCTAATGTTTTGGTAATGATGCAATGGTCTGTGCCTGAAGACCAACAAGTATTTAAGACTTTTTTGGCTTTGGGGGCGAACTGTGACTTAATATACTGTTAGACCAACACCACGGGGGCTCTTGGGGATCTGAGGGACTGCACAAACACGTTTCAGACAGAGAAGGTTCTTTAGACCCAGGACTGAGGCTGTAGATCCAGGACTGAGGCTATAGACCCAGGACTGAGGCTCTAGACGCAGGACTGAGGCTTTAGACCCAGGACTGAGACTCTCTAGACTCAGGACTGAGGCTGTAGATCCAGGACTGAGACTGTAGGTCCAGGAATGAGGCTGAAGACCAAGGACTGAGGCTCTAGACCCAGGACTGAGGCTGTAGATCCAGGACTGAGGCTGTAGATCCAGGCCTGAGGCTGTAGACCCAGGACTGAGTAGAACATCTCAGCATTAGTCTCTCTTGGTCTTGCAGATTCGAGTTCATGCATATTTCACCCATGAGGCTTCTTGGCTCCTTCTCTTTCCCCCGGAGAGACTTTAAAAGCACATTTATCCGCAGACAGAAAGCAGAACAGGACTTTGGGGGATGGATCTCCGTTTACACATTTATAAATCATTTCAAGAACCAAAAATCAGGTCTGGCTCGGGTTCCTCCTCCAGAACGTACAAGTCCCATTAAAATCTCTGGACTTCTCTCTCCTTTTGTTTTATGACTTTAGTTTGTACAGTTTGGTCGTGAGTGTGATGGAAGTCGGAGCGCTCCCTTACCAATTGGCGCATGTAGCTCGGAGTAGAGCCGCTGCTTCTGCACATGGAGAGGAGCCAGTTGAGGACCCAGGACACAGAGGGAACGTGTCTGTGTGTGGACTCGGGATTTCCCCAGATGAGCTGGAGGACGTGTGTGTTGACTCGGGATTGCCCCAGATGAGCTGGAGGACGTGTGTGTGGAGAGAGGGGAAGTCTGGGGGTCTCTGCTCGAACTGCTGCCCCTGCGACCCGGCAACGGATAAAGCGGAAGACAGTGGATGGATGTAGAAACCAGGGGAAACAAAGGAGATATATTATGCCAAAGGTTCTATCTTTAGCTTTTGACCATGATGCAATTTGTTCCGTCAAAAATCCAGCAAAGTTAAAGTAGAAATTGTGTATTAGTCACACAGCGGGGAAATTTCAGTGTTGCATCGTCAATTACAGAACAGTTAGAATGAGGAGCACAGGAAAGAGAGGAAGTAAAATTAAATCAAAATTCCCCGTGTTTAAACTATGCTGTGGCAAATCCGCAGTCATCACGGACAGAGTTTTTTTTGTACTAAAGTGCGTCATAATTTTAAATAACTTTTCGGTTAAATCTGATAAAGTTGGTAATTACGCCAGGACCTGTGCTGCCTCTGTGATAGACGCCAATCCAAATTCCGTTTTTTCTGATCTGGCGCCCGCAGCCCGTTAATGCTGATTTCCCAGAGACCTTTTCCACATTCTTTCTCCTCATTACGTTTAAATGATCTCAGTTGTTAAAAAGTCCCTGGTGCTTTGTCAGAAAACAGGAAAGGGTATTAGAGGAGAGCTCAGTGAGGGATTCAGCTCGTTCTGGTCCAGCCCAAAGAAAAAAAGAAATAGGCTTGTAACGTTCTGTGCCAAGTCCGTGGTCAGGGCCCGTCCCGGTGCAGACTACGGCTTGGCACGTTCCTGAGAGAGAGACCAGAGGGAGAGAGAGCAGAAGGAGAGAGAGCAGAGAGAGAGAGAGCAGGGGAAGAGAGAGCAGGGGGAGAGAGAGCAGAGAGAGAGAGCAGGGGAAGAGAGAGCAGGGGGAGAGAGAGCAGAAGGAGAGAGAGCAGAGAGAGAGAGAGCAGGGGAAGAGAGAGCAGGGGGAGAGAGAGCAGAGGGAGAGAGCGACAGAGACCTGTCTCATGGTCTCTCTACCTCTGGCCTCTCTCTCTGCTCTCTCTCTCTGGTCTCTCCCTGCTCTCCTTCTGGTCTTTCTGGTATCTCTTGGTTCTAGACCAGAGAGAGATCCTTTGGTACCACACAGACCCTAGGACTAAAGCAGGACTAAAGGAGGACTAAAGCAGGACTAAAGCAGGACTAAAGCAGGTCTAAAACAGGACTAAAACAGGACTAAAGCAGGACTAAAACAGGACTAAAACAGGACTAAAGTATGACTAACAATGGGGGACTCTGTGACTGTAAATAAGTGTTGCTAACGTGTGTTAGCTGACACGACAAATGTATTTATTTAGGTTTAAAAAAACAATAAAAATCAATATCGACCGTGTTTCTGTCTCTGTCAAATCTGTTGGTTGTAGGTCTGAGTGCTGCTGCAGCTGTCAAAAGACAAACTAAAGGGAAGGAACAGGAATGAGGGCTACAAGAAGACCAAAGCGAGACCAGAGGGAGACCAGAAAGAGACAAGAGAGAGGAACCAGAGACACCAAACTGAGATCAGAGAGAGAGAAACAAGACAGACCAGAGAGAGAGACCTGGGCGAGACCAGAGCGAGACCAGAGTATTTTTTGTCTCTCCCTGAGGTACTTCAGACTCGGAGAGACCTTGACATCCTTCAAACCACTTTGTAAACGCTCTTTCAAATTCCGGATGATGTGAGCTTGGTTTTTTTGTTTTTCCGAGATGTTTTAACGGGCAGACCTTCGCAACAAAACCCAACCATTTCCCACAGAGTCGGTTCAAGGTTCGGCGGTCGCGGATAAAAGCCTTCTGTGGCATCGGAGCTTTATTGATTTTTCTATTGATCGGAGACAGAGGCCAGAGCCAGACTCAGACTTTCCAGCTCACTCGTGGTTTGACGGTGTTGGTCTTGGAAGAAGCTTCTCCCGAGCCGACGGAATTAATCATATTTAATTAAGTGGGCTGCCGTGAGAGGGAGAGGTTAGGGCCTGCTGCAGATGCCTGAGGAGCGGGGAGGAAATTAGGGACCTTTAAAACACACTGTAAACCAGCAGAGATCAACACTGGTAAGAGCTGACACATGCAGAGAGAGAACAAGAGAGAGCGAGAGAGAGAGAGACCGGAGAGACAGACAGGAGACAAGACTAGAGAGAGAGGCCAGAGAGAGAAACCAGAGGGAAAGACAGGAGACCAGAAAGGGAGATCGGAAATAGAGACCAGACCAGAGAGAGAGAGAGAGAGAGACAAGAGAAAGACAGTTGATATTTTTCCATTTGGGACAAATGTGTATCAACATAACACCAGATTGGACCAGTCTTTATGGTCAGATTGGAGAGGTGTTTTTTCATGGTCAAAGAAACACATAAATGCAGAGGTCTCTAACATTCCTTCTCATCTCCCTGATCTTACACGGCTCCAAACCGTGAGCAGAACTGGAGCACGGGCCTTGGACCAGGGATTACTGAAACTACACACTTTATTTGGCCGTGAGCAGGATCCCAGTGATCCCAGTCTCTCTCCTCCCCCATGGCCTCGGATTGCGGTTCTAAGGTTTGATTCCCTCTAGTCAGAAACAGCTAAAATAAAATAAAATAAAAGCATTTATTACACCAAACACTAAACCATAAAAACAAAGAGAGATGGATCAAGAACAGTAGTTGCCCCGACGGTTGGCGATTCTTTTGGACCTCCGCAGCCCCAGCTCTGTCTGCTCTGGAGGGGGTCTAACTGGGGCTTTTCTGCAGCTGCGAGATGGTACTGCCACTGAGATAGAGTCCGCCCGGGGTCCCGTGTCCGCCCGGGGTCCCGTGTCCGCCCGGGGTCCCGAGTCCGCCCGGGGTCCCGAGTCCGCCCGGGGTCCCGAGTCCGCCCGGGGTCCCGAGTCCGCCCGGGGTCCCGAGTCCGCCCGGGGTCTGGTCTCTGCTATAGGTCCTGCGTCCGCCCGGGGTCTCGTCTCCGCCCGGGGTCCCGAATTCGCCCGGGGTCCCGAATTCCCCCGGGGTCCTGCGTCCGCCCGGGGTCCCAAATCTGCCTGGGGTCCCGTCTTTGCCCGGGGTCCCGTCTTTGCCCGGGGTCCCGTTTCTGCCCGGGGTCCTGCGTCTGCCCGGGGTCTCGTCTCCGCCCGGGGTCTGGTCTCCGCCCGGGGTCTGGTCTCCGCCCGGGGTCCCGAGTCCGCCCGGGGTCCCGAGTCCGCCCGGGGTCCCGAGTCCGCCCGGGGTCCCGAGTCCGCCCGGGGTCCCGAGTCCGCCCGGGGTCCCGTGTCCGCCCGGGGTCCCGAGTCCGCCCGGGGTCCCGAGTCCGCCCGGGGTCCCGTGTCCGCCCGGGGTCCCGAGTCCGCCCGGGGTCTGGTCTCCGCCCGGGGTCTGGTCTCTGCTATAGGTCCTGCGTCCGCCCGGGGTCTCGTCTCCGCCCGGGGTCTCGTCTCCGCCCGGGGTCCCGAATTCCCCTGGGGTCCTGCGTCCGCCCGGGGTCTGGTCTCCGCCCGGGGTCTGGTCTCCGCCCGGGGTCTGGTCTCTGCTATAGGTCCTGCGTCCGCCCGGGGTCTGGTCTCCGCCCGGGGTCTGGTCTCCGCCCGGGGTCCCGAGTCCGCCCGGGGTCCCGAGTCCGCCCGGGGTCCCGAGTCCGCCCGGGGTCCCGAGTCCGCCCGGGGTCCCGAGTCCGCCCGGGGTCCCGAGTCCGCCCGGGGTCTGGTCTCTGCCCAGGTTCTGGTCTCTGCTATAGGTCCTGCGTCCGCCCGGGGTCCCGAATCCGCCCGGGGTCCCGTCTCTGCCCGGGGTCCCGTCTCTGCCCGGGGTCCCGTCTCTGCCCGGGGTCCCGTCTCTGCCCGGGGTCCCGTCTCTGCCCGGGGTCCCGTCTCTGCCCGGGGTCCCGTCTTTGCCCGGGGTCCCGTCTCTGCCCGGGGTCCCGTCTCTGCCCGGGGTCCCGTCTCTGCCCGGGGTCCCGTCTCCGCCCGGGGTCCTGCGTCTGCCCGGGGTCCTGCGTCCGCCTGGGGTCCTGCGTCCGCCTGGGGTCCCGAGTCCGCCCGGGGTCCCGAATCCGCCCGGGGTTGCGAATCCGCCCGGGGTCGCGAATCCGCCCGGGGTCGCGAATCCGCCCGGGGTCGCGAATCCGCCCGGGGTCCCGTCTTTGCCCGGGGTCCCGTCTTTGCCCGGGGTCCCGTCTTTGCCCGGGGTCCCGTCTTTGCCCGGGGTCCCGTCTTTGCCCGGGGTCCCGTCTCTGCCCGGGGTCCCGTCTCTGCCCGGGGTCCCGTCTCCGCCCGGGATCCCGTCTCCGCCCGGGGTCCTGCGTCTGCCCGGGGTCCTGCATCCGCCTGGGGTCCTGCGTCCGCCTGGGGTCCCGAATCCGCCCGGGGTCCCGAATCCGCCCGGGGTTGCGAATCCGCCCGGGGTCGCGAATCCGCCCGGGGTCGCGAATCCGCCCGGGGTCCCGTCTTTGCCCGGGGTCCCGTCTTTGCCCGGGGTCCCGTCTTTGCCCGGGGTCCCCTCTTTGCCCGGGGTCCTGTCTCTGCTATAGGTCCTGCGTCCACACTTTTTTTCCTCTTGCTGCCCCTTCCTTTTCTCGGTGGAGGTTTGGTTGGGGCCGGAGAGGACTGTTCCACCTGAAAAAAAAATGCATGAGAAAAGGTGTCTTTGTCCTCAGTCACAAACTTAGAATAAGAGAGAGAGACCAGAGAGAGACCAGAGAGAGACCAGAGAGAGACTAGAGAGAGACAGAGAGAGACCAGACAGAGACCAGAGAGAGACCAGAGAGAGACCAGAGAGAGACCAGAGAGAGACCAGAGAGAGATCAGAGAGAGACCAGAGAGAGACCAGGGAGAGACCAGGGAGAGACCAGAGAGAGAGACCAGGGGGAGACAGAGAGAGAGACAAGATTGAGTCTGAGGACCGGATCCAACTCTGCGGTTAAACATATTCTTTCATATTTTCGTATCGTTTCAAATTCGTTGTGGCGAGGAAGATGAGGCAAACACGAGAGCAGTCAAATCTAACCTTGACATGAGTCGGCGCAAACTGGAGTTCTCCCAGTTTGTTCAGTAAGTCCTGGAGCTTGGACTGAAACATCAAAACAAAGAAATCATGAGCAGAAAATGTTATATATTTTATCGATTAAAAACATAATGAGAAAAAAAAATCATATTTTTACAATTTTGTGGTCTTTTTTTTTTCTTCCTTTCTTCCTTTAGTAGTAGCGTGTTACATTTGTAGTTTCACCTCGTGCTGAAAACCTTTTATTGAATCACTCTACTCCTGCATCGCCCTCTGGTGGTCAACATGAGGACGTACAACCGAGGCGGTCCCAGACACAGTACAAACTTCTTCTGCTGCTTTTTCCTTCTTCAGCTGTTTTCTTGCTTTAGTTTCGGCCCTGAAAAACAGCACATTATTTATTCACTGGGTCTTAAAAGAATCAATAAATCCCACCTTCTTTTTGTTTGTTTTGGTTGCAGACGTGGTGGACGCGGGTTAAGTGAAAGCACATTGATACTGTACTGTATATGATGTCTATATTTCAAAAAAACTGCATTATTTAGCGCTAGCATTCTTAATATATATGATTTAGTTCGTACTGTAAAATGTATAAGATCTTTGAAAACATGTGACCTAAGATTTAATGTTCATAATGACTGAAGAACAACAACGTGGATCTTAAAACTGCATTGACTGGATTCAGGCTGTTCTAAGCTTTATGATTGGCTATGACGTAGCTGAAGTTGGCTGAGTGACATTAAGGGATTTTACTAAAAACAAGGGAAGGGAAATACGTGTCAGTAGATACAAATAAAGTCAACAGATGAATTCTAGAGGTTTTGAGCTTTAGAACAAGGGACAACAGGCCTATATGGTGTTAGCAAGACAGAGGGCCATATAAAATGACAAAGAGGGCCGCAATTGGCTCCCGGGCCTGACTTTGGACATACTGTGGAACCTCCTTAGCAAAACACACACACAAAAGGTTTCAGCGTGTATCAAAGATTGCTTTGTCGTCGAAACTTTTAATAACTAACTTCTTCAGCTTCTGCCACAGCTGCCGGATCGCCCGCTCCTCCTGCCTGGACGGTGAGGTGGCGGCGGCGTGTTCGTGGGCGAGGACAAAGGTGACCAGCTCCTTTCGGTCCGACTCAGACAGGTCTGTGGAGGGAGAGAGCGCCTCCAGGACCACCATACACCTCTGCCTCACATCAGGACAGGGATCCGCTAACTGAGCCACACAGAGACAGCACTCGGTTGGCAACAGAAACGTCATTTACAGTATATACTATGTGTTTATGGCCGTTGCCCGCGGTTACCAGATGAAGTAGTCTCTCTGTGGCGACTAGAGCGAGCTCCAGTTGTGTCAGCTTCGACTGCGAGGCCTCCAGCTCCTCCTGACAACATGGACAACTTTACACTTAGGTTCTTACAGTTGCTGCTTCTGTGTGCCTCTGAAAAACTGTATAACCTTAAGTAAGACTAATCATGATAAATGGTCTTACTATTAGAAGAGAGACCAAAGAGAGAGACCACACAGAGAGGGACCAGAGAGAGAAACCACAAAGACCACAGGGAGAGTGACCAGAGACCACAAAGAATGAGACCAGAGAGAGACCATAGAGAGACCAGACAATGAGACCAGACATAGAGACCAGAGACACCATGGAGAATCAGACCAGAGAGAGAGACACCATAGAGAAACAGACCATAGAGAGAGAGAGACACCTTAGACCATAGAGACACCATAGAGAAACAGAGACCGACCAGAGAGAGAGAGAGACCGTAGAGAGACCAGAGAGAGAGACCTTAGACCAGAGAGAGACACCATTGAGAAACAGAGACGAGAGAGAAAGCAGAGAGAGACACCAGAGAGAAACAGAGACCGACCAGAGAGAGAGAGACCTTAGAGAGACCAGAGAGAGAGACCTTAGACCAGAGAGAGACACCATTGAGAAACAGAGACGAGAGACACCAGAGAGAGACACCAGAGAGAAACTGAGACCAGAGGGAAACAGACCATAGAGCGAAAGAGCGAGAGAGAGAGAGACCACAAAGACAGAGACCAGAGCGGGAGACCAGCGGGAGAGATCAGAAACACCCCAGAGAAAAAACCCAGCATTAGTGAGTGTGTAGACGGCCTCTCCGCATGAAATATCATAATCCTAATTTACCAGGTATTTAGAATTTAGCCTAAAAGAAACTATCGAAAATCAGCCAATCAGCAAGACATGGAAAGCTGAGAAACCCACCCACAGAAAGACTGCGTTGCCGTTTACTCCTGTGCATTTATGTGATCCATTGTATATAAATAAACCTGGAGTTGGGCGAGTTCCTTCTCCTTCTTGACGGAGAGCATGAAGTCCAGGTCTCCCTGTGTTAGCTGGTATCCCTTCATCCCCTTCACCATGGACTCGGGATCATCGCAGGAGGCTGACAACGGACAAGGGGTTCAAAACTACTGCACCACAAACGACAACGTTTACAGACGCACAAAGAGGCAAGAGGTTCAAGTCGACACACACAAACAAAAGCCTTAGATCTGTACAGTATTGTGAGTTTAGCATTTATGACCCAACATTAACGTTATTTTGGTCAATCCATCCATTTTCTTTATGCTTTGCCAGGTCACGTCCCTCTCCACACACATTTCCCCCATGAATCCTGAGGCGTTCCCTTGGACTCTCCTATCCATGAGGCGAAGCAGCAGCTCTACTCCGAGCTCCCCACCCTATCTCTACGCCCAGTCACCCTGCTGAGGAAACTCATATGGACCACTTGTAAACGTGATATCTGGTCTTTTCGGTCATTACCCAGGCCAGTATTCATTAATATTATTAGTATTAGTATTATTATTATTCTATGGTGTCAGGTCAGTACCTCGGGTGATTGGAGGAGTGTCGAAGCCAAAAATCAGTGCATTTTTGACGTCTTCATTGGGAGCCTGAAAAACAAATATGACGTGTTCTCCATTATTTTCACACAATATTTCACGGAACAATTATGGAACGGTATAAAGTGGAAGAGAGAGGAGAGAGAAGAGGGGGAGAAGAGGGGAGAGAAGAGGGAGAGAAGAGAGGATAGGAGAGAGAATAGAGGAGAGAGAATAGAGAACGAAGAGAGGAAAGAAAGAGGGGAGAGGAAAGAGGAGAGAAGAGGAGCGAGAAGAAAGAGGGGAGAGAGAAAAGAGAGGAGAGGAAAGAGAGAGAGGAGAGAAGCGAGAGGATAGAGGGGAAAGAGAAAGAGGAGAGAGAGGAGAGAGAAGAAAGGAAAGAGAGGAGAGAAGAAAGAGAACTGGTACCTGTGCAAGGGGGCGGGGCTCGCTGGGGAAGTCCAGGGTACAGATGCAGTCTCGGACTTGGCCTGGGGGGGTCCTGGGTAACTGTTGGCCTAGGGGGGTCCTGGGTAGCTGTTGGCCCAAGGGGATCCCACTCTCACCCTGATCCGGAACTCTGAGGATGGACATGACGTGCAGCTGCTGGATGTGAGAGAGGCGGCGTGACAAAGTATTCATACCCCAGGAACTCCTCTACACAATACATTAGTTTGTGTTTCAAATGAAGACTATGGAGGCCAGAATATTAGAACAGGCAGTGGCACGACAACACCAGAAGGAGGCGCTCATTGTTTATAGTTTACAGTGTGTATTTATGCCACACTCACAAACACACATTTACGTACAATCACAAACGCACTGTTTAGTACCAGCTCAGCCTGGATAAAACCAGGACAAACAAGGCCTGTGGAAACACTCCCAATCGGGGAGAGTTGAGTAGGAGTAGGAGTAGGAGTAGGAGTAGGAGTAGGAGTAGAGTAGAGGTAGAGGAGGGTAGAGTGAGTAGAGTAGAGTAGAGTAGAATGGAGTAGAGTAGCTATGGTGGAATCGGGGCTTATGTCCTGTTTTCAAACTCTCGTCACTTTAGTCCTTTACAAACAACACACACAAAATACACACACTCACACACAAACACACACATTCACAGTTACTGGTCAAAGATTAGCGCTTACTTGAGAAAGAGGAGATGGAGGGAGAGGGGGTCAAACCGCAGCAGGTGCTCTGAGTCTGCAGCATCAGCCACACCTGCTGAGCCACCTGCACTGCTCTCTCTGACCACTGGGGGCAGCTGAGTCTCCAGCATCACAAGGATGCAGGAGTCTATGAAATGTGATACATCTGAGATCTGCAACCTCAAGAAAACCGTTTCAGACTTCACATTCACACCAGAGTCATTTCAAAATGAAGACAAAACTAAATTTTACACTGGACTTCCCAATTTTTTGGTTTTGATGCAAATTTTTCAGCTCTGTGAACCATACATCACTGTGTCACCTATGTCAGCACTATCTAAATTTCAACAATTTATAATAGTATTAATGCGTCTAAGATTAAACCTTCAGCTCCAAGATCTTGCATATCGATTCAATGTATCAACAGGCACTGTGTCCAAAACTATGCATAAATTGATTCACATTCTCCACAAAAGACTAGAATTTCTGATAGAGTGGCCTGATCGAGAAGTGTTACAATCAATCATGCCCATGTCATTCAGAAAAGCTTTTGGACTTAAAAAACTTAAAAAACAGTGATAGTGGACTGTTTTGAAGTATTCATAGAAAGGCCTACAAATCTTTTGGCAAGAGCACAAACCTGGTCCAATTATAAGCATCACAATACAATAAAATTTCTTATTGGCATTGCTCCTCAGGGTTATGTTACCTTTATTTCACAGGCATGGGGAGGGAGGACCAGTGACAAACAACTTACAGAGAAGTGTGGCATCTTGAATAAGTTGTTGCCTGGAGATGTTGTGCTTGCTGATAGGGGTTTCACTGTGAACGATAGTGTAGGCTTGTACTGCGTGCGCTTCTTTGAAGACCCCTGCGTTCACAAGAGGAAAGAAACAGCTGTCTGCCTATGATGTAGAAGAAACCAGAAAACTGGCAAGTGTCCGAATTCATGTTGAGAGGGTAATTGGCTTAGTTAGGAGAAAATTTTGCAGAGTAGGGCAATGCCTCTTGAACATATGGCTGTCAAAACAAGCGACTCACTGGCATTGGTAGATAAAATCGCTGCAATTTGCTGTGCGCTGACCAATCTGTCAGAGTCTATTGTCCCTCTGGAGTAAAGAAGTTATTGCATGTAAATAGTTGAGTGGTTTAATCAAAATGTAGAGCATTTAAATGTATTAAACACGCAGGAAGCAATTGTCACCACGAGACAGATAACTCTTCCAGTGTTACTGTTAGGAATGAACCAGACAGAGACGGATCGTGGTGTGCCAAACTCTGGAAGTTTATTTAAGTTTCTCTCAAGTTCCACTGGTTTACTCTGTTTCTTTCTCTCAGACAGAATAAAGGCAGTACACAGTTTATATAGTCAATGTCACGTCACACATCGAAAGACATACGTGTCACAAAGAGACAGTCACATCATAGTCATAACATGGAGTCCTTGTAGAGTCCTTGTACAGTCCTGCACGTAGGCCATATTGCTATCTAATACTAATACCCTCCCCTTTGATCACATAATCACATGTGATCATTCAATTTGATCAATCAATAAAGTGGAAAAAGAAGAAAAAAAAATTTCCTAAAAAAAAACTTTAAAAAATTATTAAAAACAAAGAAAATGTATGCATTAAACTCATAATCATCCAATCAATATCAGTGGATTTTATCCTCTATCCTGGGAAAAATAAACAAACAAAAATAAAGTAAATAAACAAACAAAAAACAAAAACAAATCAAAAATAAAAACAAACAAACACTATTGGACACACAAGAACTCAGCAGATTCAGTCAAAACACAGACAAAAACGAGCTGAGTCTCAAATTTGAAGCTAATTTCACTTTTATTACTCTATACTTTTATTCTAATGCTAATTGTTTACACTTCACTTATTTCACTGTATTATTTTCACTTTTTAATCTTAGACTGTGTACTTTACTTTTACTATTCACTATAGTTTAAAACTATTCTAATCTATTCACAAATATGTTTGCATATTTGCTTATATTGAGCCATATTTTTAAACATACATTTTAATCTAACAAATCTCTCTGTGGTTTATACTCTCATTATCAGTGGCTTATTATTAGTGGGATTTTGCTCCATGTCTATTCTCATTCTCAGGAATAAAACTGTGAACACAGTAAGGCAAATGGTCAACATTTACACTTCTATAGTGGTCAGTGATTTATTACTTTTTATTATCTAAAGATATTATTGTCAGGCAGTTTGGGATGAATGTACATCATTAATCAAATTAGTATTATCCTAATAGTAGCTAATTAGGTTTGGTGTTGGGGTCAGTTATTCTACAATGGTGTTTGCGCTGGAAACTTCTCAATATCTAAATATCTACCATTCTGTTTTTGTGCTATACACAAATACATCAAAATGCTTTTAAATGCTTTTGAATCTCTGTTGGTTGTAATCTATCTCATTAATCTAGGCATTAATCTAGGCTACACTCATATGAACTTTTTGTATTGTCAACATTCACAGATGTTTGAACACAAGTGAATTTGGCAGTATCTAATAAAACTGTACATAAAACTGTAATTAACTTTATCTACTTCTGAAGTAAATGTTTGTGAAATGGTCCCTTTACCATTTGATATTAGCACTGGCTACAAATAATCTCTATTTTTGAAAGAATCTATGGTTGATGTCTCTATTTCTACACTATTGTGGCTCTAAAGCTTGGTTGCAGCTTGAGTCAAGGCATATTTCTACTCTAACTCTTATGTGGAAATGTTTATGAACAACAAAGGAAGGACAATTCTACTTTTATACTACTACTAAAAACGCTACAATACTAATACTTTATCATTTTAAAAGTTTTTGTCTGTCAGATGTCTGAATACTTAACATGTATATTGCATTTGGTCACAGGTTCTGGTTGTAGCAAGAGCATCGGCAATAGACGTTTTCATTGGCTGGTTCTTGTTCTGCAAATGGCTGTGTCCAATAGATCATCAGATGTCCAGAAGCTAGGGACAAACAAAAACAAAAGAAAGAATCATGAGTATCTCTCTCATTTAGCACTCATCAATGTATGATTTCAAAAATATAAACATCACTCCCCAGTTTTTCTCTCTCAGGTCCTCAGATCCTCAGGTCCTCAGGGTCCCCTGAGGGTGAGTCTCAGTCGTCATCAGGTCAAGTCATCTTGGACATCAGTAGGGTCCAAGCCAGGGTATCAGGTCTCTCCAGGTTCATTCTGGTCACTCCAGGTACATCTGGTCAATGGTGCAGTGTCTCAGTTCCTGTACACAGCTTGTTATGCAGTAGTTACTCTCTATGGTTAAGTCACTTTGATTCTACTTTAAAGACAATTTCTATTCATGCTGTTGCTAATGTCCCTTAGACAAAAGCAAGCGCAATGATTCAGTTTACTTCTCTAATTTGGGTTTGGGTTTTTATCAGATGTAATCAATGTAATTACTTCACACAGTACAAAATCAAAAAATCAAAAGTGTCAGGACAGAGGTCAATTAAGTCCATGACAATATAGAATTCAAATGAACATTTCTGGTCTCAAAAAATACTGATTCAAATAAAGATTCAAGTGATAGACAATTAAAAATATTTGTTTACATTGGAGTAAACTTTTAAAATGCTTTTTTCTCATGTTCTGCTTTTTCATGTATCTATATGTGAATGTGAATGTGTGAGTGTATGTGTGTGTATGTGTGTGTGTGTGGAGTGTGAATTTTGGGGTTGTCTCTCCAGACTCCTCAAACCACCTGTAGGTGTCAAAGGTCACACTGTGGTGATGTAAACCAACTGGACACACTTCCAACTCTCATTCAGGTCTCTGCCTGATGGTCCACCCATCACGTCTCCAGACACCTCTCTCTACCCCGGTCTCTCTCACACCCACTCAGCTCTGCAGTGGCGTGGGGAGGGGCAAGGAGGTGGCATTTCCTTTTGCTCTTTGATCTGTGACCTGTGGCTGGGTGGGCTTTGCGCTGTCCAGTGTCCAGCAGTGACCCCTCCCACAGTGTGCCAGAGTCTGAAAAACAATCCTTGAGACGGCCAATTTAAAAAAAACAACAGATATCAGTATGCGAATGAGATTGTTTTTCTTTCTGAAGTCAAAACAATTTTGGAGCGCTCTGGGTTTTTCAACATGCGCTATGTAAATAAGGATTACTTATTATCTTACTAATGTGAAACTTTTTTTTTAAAACCAGAAACTCTCAATATAAAAAACAAGACTCAAATCTCTTAAACTTTTTAAACTTTAAAATATGTATTATGTACTTTTGCACTGTGTGATTAATTATCTATGCGTCCTTGGGTTTCTTGAAAGACGCCATAAAATAGAATGAATTATTATTATTACTCAAATCGCAACTAAAACTGTATGAAAAATCTCCCTTTTACACTTGAACATTTATAGCATATATTCTAATTTAAAATAATTGCTGCATTCTTCAAATGCACTCAATAAACTTTTAAAAACATTTTGAATTGGAAGACACTATCAAACTCTGCTCGCCCTGCAGTGAGCAGCAGCTGCAAGGCCAGAGCTATAGACAAAACAAAACTCACAAAACTCGCAGCTTTTAGACTGTAAATTGGGTCACAGTTTAACTTAATAATACTTTTACAGCTATCCTGTTCTATTCCTAATTCCCTCTTTCTTTTTAGACGAAGTCTACAATCATTAATCACTTTTAACTCAGATTCTAATTTAAATGTTTGAAAAACGGCTTTTGTACTAAAATAAAAACATAAAAACAAACACAACTCACAAAAAGTTAAGAAATAAGCAGCAGATTTAAAAGAATGGAATCTAGAAATATATTAGGTCTAAAAAGAATTGCACAGCTTTTAGCACTAATCTTTGGGTTTCAAAAACATACTAATTCAAAACTTATTCACTAATGGTGTTTAAAAACGTTTAACTGTGTCATAACACAATGTTCAATGGCAAATTTCGCAAATTTAACTGAATAACAACTATGAAAAGCCAAAAATCCTAAAGCAGTAGCTCTGATTCAGAGCCAGAGCAGCGAAGGTGGGGCCCGTTTCCCTGACAACGGCAGCAGATAGAGATGTGCACACACAGGCAGAAAGATACAGAAGAATAACTTTCAAGATTACTTTGTTAAGCAAATATAACTTATGTTGTTCTTTATACTTTTGTCATCTAAGTATAGAAATGGTCCATTTCAACACTTGTAACAAAAGGCACTCTTGTCTTTAACGTTTACGCTTCTATTTTATCGAGGTAGCAAACTAGTTTAAACTCAAAATCTCTTTCTAAAAAACAAAAACAACTGTTGGATACAACCCTCTCATAGCTCAACTGTAGATAAAACTCGGCAAAAAAAAATGTAAATAACTCACGAAAGCTCTCATAGCTCCACTTTAGATAAAACTCTGCATTCTCCGGTGAACTCTGTTCACGCCGAAAACAAAAACTCCTTTTTCTGTATGTAATTTAAACCGTGATCACTGAAATATTGTTGATTCTTTACTTTTGTCATTTATCAGCCTGAAATTCGTCAATTTCAAAGCTTTTGTAACAAAGGCCTCCTTAACACGTTTCCCTTTTTATTGCTTTTATGTTTTACACCATGGTTTCACTAAGGATCCTGCTCCAAGGGACTCAAACCCTGAGACTGTGTGTCTCCAAGGGACATAAACCCTGAGACTGCTCCAAGGGACATAAACCCTGAGACTGCTCCAAGGGACATAAACCCTGAGACTGCTCCAAGGGACTTAAACCCTGAGACTGCTCCAAGGGACTTAAACCCTGAGACTGCTCCAAGGGACTTAAACCCTGAGACTGCTCCAAGGGACTTAAACCCTGAGACTGCTCCAAGGGACATAAACCCTGAGACTGCTTCTCAAAGGGACTCTAACCCCGTCAGGTAGCGAACCTGTTTTTAATCTAATCTGATCTATAGATACATGACACTTGGTAGACCTCAAAACAGACCAAAATTTAGCTAGTATCCAATTATACAGACTTTACATATAAAAAGGTGTCTGCTTACCTTATTCTTGTCAAACAGGATCCAAGGAGTGTCCGAGAGGTCCACCAAATACCAGCCTTTCCACGTCCAACCAGGTCTCCAGATCATGAACCAGCGCTCACTAGTACCGGGAACTAGTTTCCATCGGCAGAGACCAATCACACGTCAAAAATCCCCGGAATGTGGAATGGGAAAACAATTTTAAACGCTCAGTCCAAAAAAGAGGACACAAAAAAAAATATAGTGAGAGAGCGAAAAAGAGTCCCGGAGCCGGTCCCCTCTCCAGCCTGCTGGACCGCTCCCAGGCCCCAGATACTCTCAGCGCTCCCACGCCGAGAAAAAGAAACAAAGCAAACTCCCTCAAAACAATCCAGAGAATGGCGCACACTGAGCCGCACATCCTCCACCAAATCTGTTAGGAATGAACCAGACAGAGACGGATCGTGGTGTGCCAAACTCTGGAAGTTTATTTAAGTTTCTCTCAAGTTCCACTGGTTTACTCTGTTTCTTTCTCTCAGACAGAATAAAGGCAGTACACAGTTTATATAGTCATTGTCACGTCACACATCGAAAGACATACGTGTCACAAAGAGACAGTCACATCATAGTCATAACATGGAGTCCTTGTACAGTCCTGCACGTAGGCCATATTGCTATCTAATACTAATATTACTTTACCAGGGTGGCAAGAGAAGAATTATGGTTTTCAATTATTACTATTTAATCTTTTTCACACTCCCAAAAAAATGTAACAAACATCTTTTAATCTTGTAAATAAGCTGTGATTAAAATTAATGTTCAAGAAAATGAATAAAGACCACTGAAAACATCCATCGTTCAAACCATTTATTTTTTACACAAACATTGAAAGTGCTATTTATTAAGTGAAGTAACAGAAGGATAGACAAACATTTAAAGAGTAAGAACAAACCACTTTATTTACATCTGTGTTGCGTTCATGTGACAACATTCACCTTTTGGTGGAGGGTAGTTTGCTAATTACTGTAAAGTGTCTCACTTTTTTAGTCTTCGTTTAGATGTGATATGTACATGAAACATATCAACTAATTATTTTCTAAATGTCTAGTGTTGGTGAAACTGTTCCAAAAACATGTATGCTGTTGGCCAGTAGAAACGTCAGAATAATTTAGGGCTTTGTGAATCTAATAATGTAATATGTTTTTAAACATGTTTTTTTTTTTTAAAACTGCTATTTCTAAGAGTTATATTGGCCCTTGCCTCCAGCTGAAATAGAAGAAAAACGCAAACAATTGTTTTGTTATTCACGTGTAAATTTCTGCCCTAATATTTCAGGGAGGATGCAATGCGTGAAATACTGCTCAACAACGGGGATCACAGTTTCCCAGAGTTGTATGTCAGGAAGTATCCTTTCAATATATATATCATTTTTATTCCAAACTATGAAGTCGCAGTATTTTACATCCAAAATGTGAAGCTGAGCCTGAACCTGATAATAATATGGATGATTCCTGTCAAGCTGTACAAAATCTCCCTCCCTGATGAGACAGAATCCTGGCTGGCCTGCACACATTTTCAGACTGACCTCATGCTGTTTGCTCTCTGGACACTGAAAAATAATGAACATAAAAGACTGGATCTCTAATGTTAACATAATCATGATTAATACATTAATATGTTAATATTTGTTTTTTAAAGTTTAATATTGAAATGGTGCTGTATTACAAGAAATGTGTGGATGTGACCGGTGTGCTCAGAGCACTGTGTCCCTGCTCTGGTCAGGGAAGCTTTGGGAGACACCAGGCTCTGAGATTAATCTCTGATTAAAGCATAGATTTTTTGTGATTAATTACATGAATTAAAGTGTTAACTTTGACAGACATAGTTAAAACGTTTTGTTCCCAGATCGACCAACCCTACAGCAAAAAGTCTGCATTTGTCTTACCTTTATCTCACAAACCCCAGTTCCGTGGCAGTCACAAGAAACAAGTGCATCAGGTGAAGCTCCCATGTAGGGCCACTTTGGATTTAGCCACAGCCCACTATCCACACAAGAAAATCCCTCATGGGACTGGCCTTCAAGCTGCTCATATTTTTTTTTTGAGCAGTTGCCTCAAATTTACAGCCATATCTGAAATGTAAAATAGTGAGGGGGGATATAAATGTTTGCAATATGAACCTTTTCAAATAAAGCATGCCCTGCCTAAAGTTAAACAGAACTTGGTAGCCGTGCAAACAAATTATTATTCCTCCCTTACCTTTCCCTAATAAATACCTTGTTGCTGCTGTTGAAAACTTGTGTTTCCGGGTAGCAGACTGACTTTATCAGAGCCTTAGATGGTCTTTGTAGACTTCCCTGCACAACCTGTTTCAACTTGGATGCAGTTACTGTATTCTTCCTGCTCTTTGGTTGAACCAGATTGTTGAGGAGCTCTGTTTTCTGGTTGCCTCCTCTACTGCTTTAACCTGCGCTTCACTGAGCTCCTCAAAACTGAAGCCCCTGCATGCATCCTGAAGCTCGGCTGGAGAAAGCTCCACAGTGTCTGTTGTTCGGTAGGCAAGAAGAGTTTTTGGCAGTATCGATATAGATAGACTTTTTTATAGAGTCAGGGCACTTTTTGATGAATTTTTGATAAGATTTTGAGCTTCTCTATAAGAATTGCATGATGATTATACGGACATTTTATGTGTTGATAATTTGAGTACAGCTGCATTCACTTAGCCAGGTCTTACCATATAAGGCTGATTTAATTTTGTACCAAGCTACATGTACTGTAGGGAAATAATTGGCCGGAATTTAAGGCGAAGCTTATTCAGACTGAACACAATGTAATTTTAACTAATGAACAGTAGTGGGATTTTTATTTACATGATTTTAAACCCACGTAATATTGTCCTTGTCCTTCTGTTAGTATTAGATAGCAATATGGCCTACGTGCAGGACTGTACAAGGACTCTACAAGGACTCCATGTTATGACTATGATTTGACTGTCTCTTTGTGACACGTATGTCTTTCGATGTGTGACGTGACAATGACTATATAAACTGTGTACTGCCTTTATTCTGTCTGAGAGAAAGAAACAGAGTAAACCAGTGGAACTTGAGAGAAACTTAAATAAACTTCCAGAGTTTGGCGCACCACGATCCGTCTCTGTCTGATTCATCCCTGACACTTCTATCATTGGTTTTCAAATTTGAAGACTGGTCCATGTGATCACTGAAACTCAATAGCTGCTTTTAGTTTGAAAGAAAATCAACTTTTATTAAGGGAACAAAAGCAGAACAAAAAAAGTCCAGAACTCAACAACTTCGCACCAGCTCCTCCCTCTGAAGATGGCCCTAACCCCACCCTCAAGTAGCGCCCGTGACGCGGGTCGCACGCCGCCATCATGTTCTTGGAGTCAAACATCTGCTGCGTCAGCTCGGGGACCGTCAGGGCCCTGTACTGCTGGCTCCCCCTGCAGAAGCCGCGGGAAGGGCACCATGTTCACCGCTAGCTTGCGCAGGTCTGCGTTCAGCTGGCCAGGGAAGCGCAGGCAGGTGGTCACTCCGCTCATGGTGGCCGACACCAGGTGGTTCAGGTCGCCGTACGTGGGCCTGGTCAGCTTCCGCGTCCGGAAGCAGATGTTGAACAGAGCCTCGTTGTTGATGCAGTAGATCATGTCTGTGTTCTCCACCAGCTGGCGCATTGACAGAGTGGCGTTGTACGGCTCCACCACCGTGTCCGACACTTTGGGAGAAGGCACCACGCTGAACGTGTTCATGATGCGGTCAGGGTATTCTTCGCGGATCTTTCTGATGAGCAGAGTGCCCATACCCGAGCCTGTGCCTCCGCCCAGGGAGTGAGTGAGCTGGAAACCCTGCAGACAGTCGCAGCTCTCCGCCTCCTTACGGACCACGTCCAGAACCGGATCCGCCAGCTCCGCTCCCTCCGTGTAGTGGCCCTTGGCCCAATTTTTTCCCGCTCCGCTTTGACCTGGAATTATACCCACTGCTTTACAGCTGCACGTGCCACATTGGACCATTCAAATGCTTCACACCTCTCTTACCAAACACAAAGTTGTCAGGCCTGAACACTTGGCCAAACGGCCCAGACCTCACAGAGTCCATAGTCCCAGGCTCCAGATCCACCAGTATAGCACGAGGTACATATTTGCCCCCTGTGGACACATCAAGCATTACATCACAGCGCTTCAAATGCAGGATGGGACTCTACATTCTTGGCATTTCGCCCCCAGGTGGGTTTACCTTATCTAAACTGTTCCTAATTCAATGTCCCTGTAGGGAAATATGCGTCTGCATTTGACCCTGAATACCACTAGTATCTGTCAGGAGCAGTGGGTACCACAGTGACGAAATGCCTACATTTTAGTGAGTCCTAATATATTATACTAATTTGGTTCAGACTTTACCAGTGGCTTCGTTGTAGTAGATGTTGATCCTGTCCAGCTGCAGGTGACTGTCGCCATTGTAAGACCCAGTGGCATCAATGCCGTGCTCGTCACTGATCACCTCCCAGAACTAAAAAAACAAACAAACAAAATAATAAATATCTGTTCAAACTGCGCACGCGCTTTTACTTTGACAGCAGGAGCGCGCAGCCGCTTTGGCGTTCAAACCCGAGCAGTCGAAAAACCTCGACGTTTATTACAGTAAAATAACCCAGAAAACTGTTTTAAACCATCGCTAAATATGTAATCCGATTATCACACCGTCCATAAGGTTCAGATGGTGACGATATATGACGGTATTTGAGGAAACGTTAACAGAAGCAAAGGGGCGCGACACATCCGTTATTCAAAAACTCGATATTATAAAACAGCTACAGCTATATTATAAAACACCTACAGAAAAGGACATTTTCCGACACCATTCAAGCTCATTAACTTTGTATTTGCTTCAGAAAATAGTCTGGATAAGACGTCATGGCACAAAAGGGCCACAGAAACAAATTAAAAGTTTAACCCTTTAAGCGCCAGAGGTTTTTTTCCAAAACGCTCGATTTTGACATCTTAATTTCAAAAGGCTATAACTTAAAAGTGATAAGAGATAAAGGCTTTCTGTAAATTAGAAAAATATAAAGGATGGTCCAAAGTGTATGTAGAGAATAAATCCCATCTAATTTGCATATTATGACGTCATTTGGCGTTAGAAATAGTGGATTTTAGAATTTTCATACAATATTTGTATTTTTCTAACTGACAGACATATATTTATCACTAGAACATGAACACACACAAAGCACACACTGTAACATTGTAAATGTTCATGAAAATAGTAAAAAATACAAATCATGATGCTGCTGTGAGCAGTCTGCCCAGACGCGCGCGTCACTGCGACCCTGCTGCTGCAGGTGTCTCCCCTGCTCTCTCTCTCATCTCCCCTGATCTCTCTCTCGTCTAACACACACAAGACAAAGCTTCTCCAACACATTACTGTCCAGGTGATTACGTGAGGCATGAAAATACATATGTGGGAAGCACTTTTAGCGGAGACTTTGGCGGAAACTTGAGCGGAGGCGGGAGGTCGCGGCGCGGCGCCCCGACCCGAGTTCCAGGGTTGTTCTCCGCAAATCTAACCTGTCTCCAAACCTCCCAATGACTTTGCCTTACTCTGAGAAACACTGTTCCCACTGCAGACCCTGTGCAAAGTGTCTAAAGTTAGTGTTTGGTGCGGTACAACACTCACAGGCTGCCCCGCAGCTGCATTCGCTTCGCTATGATTTCTGCACTGGTTCAACGCGGTCTTGCTCGAATATTTTGTATAGGAGCATGACGTTTTTTGGGGCCAGGGAGGTAGTCTGACATGTCTGCCAACTAGTGGCAGGGAGTATGAATGAATTTTGACACTCAGTTGGTCACACTCGGCCGTTTTTAACAGTACCGCAGCTTGTCGACTTAAGTCGACCGTGGCGCCTAGAGGGTTAAATTTAAAAAATAAATAAAAATACAATGAATGAATAGTCACCGACCTGGTTACCAATCTGGTTGCCACACTGGCCCAACTGGATATGGACGATTTCCCTCATTTTGTTTGGAAATTTGGAAGGATTTGGAGTGAAGAACTGTATTCGCTTTTCAAATTCAAAACAACTGTTGATAAAAAAAAACGGCTGCGCGCGCACCCTGGCAACGAGGATCACCTCTACATGGGCTAACTACTACAACATCGATTTTTCTAATCCAATGCACTGTTTTAATGCAGAGAAATCCATTGAATCCAATGCGCCGCAAGTGCAGAGACCAAGTGCAAGCCAAGTACACGCACTAAACTCTCAAATACTAGCAATAATGGCCATCTCTAACTACTACAACCATTGTTTTCAGCATTTATCTATTTTTTATATCTTTTATGAATAAATAGGAGTAAATATGAGTATGAATTTTGAATAGCTTTTTTTCTAAAAGGGGCGTGATCACCAAATTCTCAAGTATGATCAATAACTACCATATCTAACTACTACAACTTTTGTTTTCAGAAGAAACATCTTTTTTATATTTTTTATGATTAAATATGAATATGAATTTCGAATAACTTTTTTTTAAAAAGGGGCGTGGTCACCAAATTCTCAGGTATCATCAATAACTACCATATATAACTACTACAACCTTTGTTTTCAGCAGAAATTTCTTTTTTGTATTTTTTATGATTAAATATGAATATGAATTTTGAATAACTTTTTTTCAAAAAGGGGCGTGGTCACCAAATTCGCAGGTATGATCAATAACTAACATGTCTAACTACTACAACTTTTGTTTTCAGCAGAAACATCTTTTTTATATTTTTTATGATTAAATATGAATATGAATTTCGAATAACTTTTTTTCAAAAAGGGGCGTGGTCACCAAATTCGCAGGTATGATCAATAACTAACATGTCTAACTACTACAACTTTTGTTTTCAGAAGAAACATCTTTTTTATATTTTTTATGATTAAATATGAATATGAATTTCGAATAACTTTTTTTCAAAAAGGGGCGTGGTCACCAAATTCTCAGGTATCATCAATAACTACCATATATAACTACTACAACCTTTGTTTTCAGCAGAAATTTCTTTTTTGTATTTTTTATGATTAAATATGAATATGAATTTCGAATAACTTTTTTTCAAAAAGGGGCGTGGTCACCAAATTCACAGGTATGTTCAATAACTAACATGTCTAACTACTACAACCTTTGTTTTCAGCAGAAATATCTTTTTTGTATTTTTTATGATTAAATATGAATATGAATTTTGAATAACTCTTTTTCTAAAAGGGGCGTGGTCACCAAATTCGCAGGTATGATCAATAACTAACATGTCTAACTACTACAACTTTTGTTTTTAGAAGAAACATCTTTTTTATATTTTTTATGATTAAATATGAATATGAATTTCGAATAACTTTTTTTCAAAAAGGGGCGTGGTCACCAAATTCTCAGGTATCATCAATAACTACCATATATAACTACTACAACCTTTGTTTTCAGCAAATCGCTCAGAAGAACATCATCACACCCAGAGGCATGTATTAGTTCATAAAGGCTAGATAAGTTTCACATTTTATGTATGTTTCTTGGGCTCCAGACTAGCTTTTACCAGGAGCACAGTTCACACACACATTTAACATTTATTTCTCCATGAACATTTGTCTACCACCTCTAATGGCAAATTACAGATTATTTGAGTCTCCCCTTCCATGTTTTATCCGTTTTCTTGCACAATTTCAAAATTTAGGTGCAAAATACAGTACATCCCATTGGGCAGCTTGTGGAAGCCTACCTTTTAAAGGCTCTCCTCACTCTTTAAAATGTGGATATTATTCAGCATAATAATGGTCTTTATGTTGCTCTTTGTCACTATCAGTGCTGTGAGATGAGGACATACAGGAGCTGCGGACTGTGGCACCAGATGCTGCTGTGGTGACAATCTGGAGAACAGCGACACAGATACTGCATCATCTGACAATGATGAAGAGGAGCATCCAGGCTTACCTGAGCTTCCCTTGACTGCTTTATTTAATGCATCAAACAGGGACCTATCACCTCAGGAATTACAGGATAAAAGCAACGAGACATTTAACAGACTAAAAACTAAACTACAGCCTCATCAGTGGGAAATTTCATCATGCATCCACAACTGACAAGATTAGCGAAACATATTTGATGGATATAATGCATTACAGCACACAAACATTAAATGTCCCACCTGTGGTGTGGGGACAAAATATGGAGGAAACGGCACGACAAGCATACACTGTTTTCATGGCTAAAAGTCATGCAGAATTCAGTGTAAGGTCCTGTGGCTTAGTAGTGCCTCCTTCTGAGCCACACCTTGGCTCATCACCAGATGGCATAGCTAGCTGCACCTGCTGCGGCAAAGGTGTGGTCGAAATAAAGTGTCCATACAAATACTGTCACAACTTTCATGGATGCACACAAGACAGACAGTTTTGTTTGGACAAATCGTACGCTTTAAAACAATCACACCCATACTACTACCAGACCCAGCTCCATATGTTTGTGTGTGACGTAGACTATTGTGACTTTGTGTTGTGGTCAAAGGGTGAACTAATTGTGCAACGCATCCTCAAAAACCAAGCGTTTCTGCAAGAGACCTTGCTGAAGGCACAAGCCTTTTTCATCTCAAGAGTGTTGCCTGAACTCCTGACAAGAAGACATGACCCTGCCTTGGACTCTCGGATAGCCTGCAAGGTGTGTGAAAGGCCAGATTTTGGCAAAATGATCAGCTGTGTCCGATGCAAAAACTATTTCCACTACAGCTGTGCTAAAATCAAAAGGAAGCCAGCTACATAGTCCTGTGGGAAATGCTTGAGTTGAGGCCTGAATGACAAATTCCATTAGTAGGGCTGGGCCAAACAATCGATTTGAATAAAAAAATCAGTAAGTCAAATTGATTCATATTTTCAGACAGTCACATTTTTTTGTAGATATGTTATATATTTTATTGGAATTAATAATTTGGATGTTCAAAAATCTTAGTAAAAAATTGCACACTGCTTTTTACAGTGATTTCCTTTGCTAATTTTGGGGTTTGTTGATGCACTTTAACTGAAAACAATTAATATATACATGTAAAATACATTTACTGCCAGTAGTTATTTTTGTTTTATATGGATGATAAAAAAAAGGAAAAAATCACCCAGCTCTTGCCATTAGTTATGTTCTGGCTTTACCTGGCAAAATTTCAACTTTGTTTAAAAATAAATCATTTCATAAGAATTACACTTGATGTTATTTATTGTTATTGACTGCTGTCTAATCATGGATGCACTTTGGCAAATCAATACATTACAAATAGTACATATAATTTTGAAATAAACAGGATTATAATATAAGCACATGTCAGGGATGAAGCAGACAGAGACGGATCGTGGTGTGCCAAACTCTGGAAGTTTATTTAAGTTTCTCTCAAGTTCCACTGGTTTACTCTGTTTCTTTCTCTCAGACAGAATAAAGGCAGTACACAGTTTATATAGTCATTGTCACGTCACACATCGAAAGACATACGTGTCACAAAGAGACAGTCACATCATAGTCATAACATGGAGTCCTTGTACAGTCCTGCACGTAGGCCATATTGCTATCTAATACTAACACCCTCCCCTTTGATCACATAATCACATGTGATCATTCAATTTGATCAATCAATAAAGTGGAAAAAGAAGAGAAAAAAAAAATTCCTAAAAAAAACTTTAAAAAATTATTAAAAACAAAGAAAATGTGTGCATTAAACTCATAATCATCAAATCAATATCAGTGGATGTTATCCTCTATCCTGGGAAAAAAAAAAAAAAACAAATAAACAAACAAAAATAAAGTAAATAAACAAACAAAAAACAAATCAAAAATAAAAACAAACAAACACACTATTGGACACACAAGAACTCAGCAGATTCAGTCAAAACACAGACAAAAACCGAGCTGAGTCTCAATTTAGAAGCTGATTTCACTTTTATTACTCTATACTTTTATTCTAATGCTAATTGTTTACACTACACTTCACTGTATTGTTTTCACTTTTCAATCTTAGACTGTGTACTTTACTTTTACTATTCACTATAGTTTAAAACTATTCTAATCTATTCACAAATATGTTTGCATATTTACTTCTATTGAGCCATATTCTTAAACATACATTTTAATTTAATAAATCTCTCTGTGGTTTACTCTCATTATCAGTTTGGGATGAATGTACATCTTTAATCAAATTGGAACTATCCTTACAAGAGCTAATCTATTTGAGCAGGTTTGGGGTTGGGGTCAGTTATTCTACAATGGTGTTTGTGCTGGAAACTTCTCAATATCTAAATATCTACTATACTGTTTTTGTGCTATACACAAATACATCAAAATGCTTTTAAATGCTTTTGAATCTCTGTTGGTTCTACTCTATCTCATTAATCTAAGCTACTTTCATGAACTTTTTGTATTGTCAACATTCACTCATGTTTGAACACAAGTGAATTTGGCAGTATCTAATAAAACTGTACATAAACTGTAATTAACTTTATCTACTTCTGAAGTAAATGCTTGTGAAATGGTCCCTTTACCATTTGATATTAGCACTGGCTAAGAATATTCTCTATTTTTGAAAGCATCTATGGTTGATGCGTTTATCTATTTCTCTATTTTTACTCTACTGTGACTCCAAAGCTCGGCTGCAGCTTGAGCAAAGGCATATTCCTAATTTGTGACTTCTGTCACTTTTAATATCTCTAACATAACTCTGATTCTAATATTATAGCTGATCTATCAAAAGGATAACATTGTAGGGTACTATTTTAACTCTTATGTGGAAATGTGTTTATGAAAAACAAAGGAAATCAAATTCTACTTTTTTACTACTATTTAACATCTAATAAAACGCTACAATACTCATACTTTATCATTTTCAAAGTTTTTGTCTGTCAGATGTCTGAATACTTAACATGTATATTGCATTTGGTCACAGGTTCTGGTTGTAGCAATAGCATCAGCAATAGACGTTTTCATTGGCTGGTTCTTGTTCTGCAAATGTCTGTGTCCAATAGATCATCAGATGTCCAGAAGCTAGGGACAAACAAAAACAAAAGAAAGAATCATGAGTATCTCTCTCATTTAGCACTCATCTATGTATGATTTCAAAAATATAAACATCACTCCCCAGTTTTTCTCTCTCAGATCCTCAGGTCCTCAGAGTCCCCTGAGGGTGAGTCTCAGTCGTCATCAGGTCAGGTCATAGAGAGATGTCATCTTGGTCATCAGTAGGGTCCAAGCCATGGTTTTGGTCTCTCCAGATGCACATCAGGATCTCCAGATACAGTCTTTTCACTTGAAGCACATCAGGTCATTTGCGATGCACTTCTGGTCAATGGTGCAGTGTCACAGTTCCTGTACACAGCTTGTAATGCAGTAGTTACTCTCTATGGTTAAATCACTTTGATTCTACTTTAACACAATTTCTATTCATGCTGTTGCTAATGTCCCTCAGACAAAAAGCAAGCGCAATGATTCAGTTTACTTCTCTAATTTGTGTTTTTATCAGATCTAATTCTAATCAATGTAATTACTTCACACAGTACAAAATCAACAAATCAAAAGTGTCAGGACAGACGTCAATTAAGTCCATGACAATATAGAATTCAAATGAACATTTCTGGTCTCAAAAAATACTGATTCAACTAAAGATTCAAGTGATAGACAATTAAAAATATTTGTTTACATTGGGGTAAACTTTTAAAATGCTTTTTTCTCATGTTCTGCTTTTTCATGTATCTATATGTAAATGTGAATGTGTGAGTGTATGTGTGTGTATGTGTGTGTGTGTGAATTTTGGGGTTGTGTCTCCAGACTCCTCGAACCACCCGTAGGTGTCAAAGGTCACACTGTGGTGATGCAAACCAACTGGACACACTTTCAACTGCCTCTAGGTCTCTACCTGACGCTCCACCCATCACTGCCTCCAGAAACCTCCACTTTCATGGCCCCGGTCTCACTCCCACTTACTTCTGTAGTGGGGGGAGGGGCGTAGAGGTGGCATTGTTGCCCTTTGCTCTTAGCTCTGTGGCCTGTGGCTGGGTGGGCGTTGCGCTGTCCAGTGTCTAGCAGTGACCCTGTACAGTGTGGCAGAGTCTGAAAAACAATCCTTGAGACGGCCAATTTAAAAAAACAATAGATATCAGTATGCGAATGAGATTGTTTTTCTCTCTGAAGTCAAAACAATTTTGGAGCGCTCTGGGTTCTATTTCATCCTTCCTGACCGCCAGAGGCGGTGCTTAAGCACTGGATGATCATCCTCGCGCATGCACAGATCGAGAGTCAAATAACAACAAAGTCACCCGTGACCTCCGGTAGCTCACGCGAGAGTCTATAAAGCCACGTGACACCGGAAGCACAGTCCCTTTTCACTTTCTCGCATGCAGGTTGTATGAGTCTGGCTGAAGCTAACTGATAGCTGTTTGTGCCTGTTGTTCACGCCGCTTGCTGCCTGTAGCCCCGTGACTGCTCGTCGGTCGGTGCTGCGAGTTTCTCGCCCTCCGTGGGCTGCGCAAGCCGCGCTGCTTGCCTCTGGTGAGTGTTTGTTTTGCTTATTCGCCGTGACTTGTGCTCGGTTGTTTTTCGTTACTTCTTATAATTGGGGGGTTACTAGTGGCGTTTCTGCTCGACCCGACCCTGTTATCTGGCTGTTTACCTGCGCGTATTCAGAGTGTGTTTGGTGGGTTACCAGTGGCGTTCTGCTCGACCTGACCCTGTGTCTTGTTAATTACCTTGTTAATTATTTGTTAATTTCTGTCGGTCACTGGTGGCGTGTCTGCTCGACCTGACCCTGTTGAATTGGCTGTTGCCTGCGCGTGTTCCACGTGTTTCTGCGGGTTGTAAGTGGCGTCTCTGCTCGCACTACCCTACTTTATTGGTTGTTCCCTGCACGTGTACGGCGTTCGGTGGGTCACTAGTGGCGTCTCTGCTCGACCTGACCCTGCTGTATTGGTTGTTCCCGGCACGTGTACGGCGTTCGGTGGGTCACTAGTGGCGTCTCTGCTCGACCTGACCCTGCTGTATTGGTTGTTCCCTGAACCTGTGAGGCGTTCGGTGGGTCACTAGTGGCGTCTCTGCTCGACCTGACCCTACCGGGAGTGCCCCTGTACTTGGCGGCGACTGCTCCTGCGCGTTCGCTCGCTGGGATGCTTGAGCCGTTGGCCTGCCAGTCCTGTCTGGCCCCGATGCAGCAGGACGATGGCCATGTGCTGTGTCCCTCCTGTCTGGGTGTGGGCCACCTGCGGGAGGCGCTAACCGAGCGGGCATGTCCCGATTGTGCGGTAATGCCCTGGCCGGTGCGCGTGGCCCGCCTGTCGGCCCTGGACGGACATTTCAGTGGCGATTCTGGGGACTGTGAGTCTGCCCTGTTGGTTGACCGACCCCCTGGTCGCAAACGTGAGGGCGCCCGGGGTGATGACCCTCCGCGGAAGAAGTCGAAGTCCTCTGGTCGCGGGGTTCTGACTTCGAAGGTCGATTCACTCTCTGTGGAGTTGGCTCAGTTGCGGACCCTCCTTCATGACCTTCAGGCTGGTACTGGCCAGTCGGTGGCCCGACCGGTCTCGGTCCCTTTGTCGGTGTGCGATGAGGATGATGCTCTCTCGGTGGCGGCATCTGACACACATTTTCGGCCTGGCTCTGATGTTCTGAGCTCCAGGGTCTCGGAGTCTGGTTCGGTGGGTTCTGTCGGGTCTCTGTCGGTTTCCGATGAGCCCGTGACTGCGGCGATCCGAACGGCTCTGGCGCATTTGAAGCTGGATGTGCCTCGGTGCGATGCGGGGCCCTCGAGTGCCTTCTTTCGCCGCCAGTCTGCGTCCTCGGGGTTCTCTGTTCCTCCTTCGGCGGAATATGTCAAGGAGCTACATGCCTGTTGGACTGACACGAGGGTTTTTTCTAGGCCCAATTTGGACGGTCGGGCCCTGGCTTCTATGCAGGCGCCTGACAAAGTTGGCCTGGGGCATATGCCGGCGGTGGAGCCTGCCATTGCCTCCTTGATTGTACACCCTGAAGAGGCTCTGCGCACTAATGCCCGGTGCCCTCGGCCGCAGTGTCGGGCCACAGATGACCTGCTCTGCAAGGCCTATGACATGGGTGCCCGCATGGGCCGCATTGGGAACTCCCTGTCTCATCTGCTGTTGGGGCTGTCCGCTTCTCTGGAGGCTGTCACGTTGGACCAGTCCACGCAGGGGATGGTGGATGCTTCCTTGCAGGCTTTTGCCTTCATGTCTAGGGAACTGGGGCGTCTCCTCTCTACGCTGGTTCAGACTCGCCGCCAGGTGTGGTTGGCGCAGTCCCCTCTCTCCGAGGCAAGCCGCAGGGTGTTGAGGAGCGTTCCTGTGCTCCCTGGAGAGCTGTTTGGCTCGGCTGCCATTGCGGCTCTGGAGCGCACGGTCCAGGCCACTCAGACCCGGCAGCAGTTGGTGGGACTGCACAGGCATCCCTCGCGTGCGTCCGCTTCTGCTGCCCCTGTGCGCGGGCGGGTGGCTCCGCCCCGGAGTTTTTCTGTGCCCCGGACGGTGGATGGGCCGTCGGCTCATGGGGCTCGGCGCGGGAACTTTCCCCCGGCTCAGGCTCCACTGCGTCCCAGTCGTCGCCCCCCCAGGCCCGCTAAAGGCCGGGGTGCCCGCCGGTGGTGGGACGGTTTACCCCCGGGACAACTTGGTTACTGGAGGGCCCAATCCCCCGATGTATGGGTTGTGGCCACTTTGTCCGTGGGGTATCGTCTCCAGTTCCGCCACCGGCCTCCTGTTCCCGGCCGGGTCCTTGTGACTGTCATCCAGGACCCGGTCAGGGCGCAGGCACTTGTCCGGGAGATTCGTACTCTACTGGACAAGGATGCCATCGTGCCTGTCGACCCCCTGCTGGATCCAGGGGGCTTTTATTCCCGTTATTTTCTGGTACCGAAGAAGACCGGCAACTTGCGACCGGTCTTGGACCTGAGGCGTCTGAATGTTTTCTTGAAGGTCCTCCCTTTCAAGATGTTGCGTGTCCGGCAGGTCCTCCAGGCGGTGTCCCCTGGGGACTGGTTCACGTCAATAGACCTGAAGGACGCCTACTTTCACGTCCCGATTGCTCCTCAGCATTGCCGGTTCCTTCGTTTTGCCTTTCAGGGGAGGCACTTCCAGTTCAGGGTGCTTCCCTTCGGCCTCTCGCTCTCTCCTCGGGTCTTTACGAGATGCGTGGCGGCGGCTCTTTCCCCGTTGCAGGCCAGGGGGTTGAGGATCCTGCCCTATCTGGACGATTGGCTGATCTGTGCCCCCACTCGCGAGCAGTCTCTGCGGGATACGCAGGCTGTGATAGAGCACGTGACCAGGTTGGGTCTGCGAGTGAACCTGGCAAAGAGCAATGTGGTGCCGTCTCAGCAGGCTTTGTTCCTGGGCATGGCTCTGGATTCCCTGTCTATGTCCGCCCGCCCCTCACCTCGACGTGTCGGGGACATTCGGGCGTTGCTCCCAGGCTTCCGTCGAGGACGGTCGCTCCCTTACCTGGCGTTCCTCAGGCTCCTGGGCATGCTGATTGCAGCCTCGTCTGTGGTCCCCCTGGGTCTTTTGTCCTTGCGCCCGCTGCAGATGTGGCTCAATGGCCTGGGGCTGGACCCGGCCAATCCTGTTCACAGACGTCGGCGGTTACTGGTGTCTCCTCGGTGTATGGAGTCACTGTCCCGGTGGCGCGACAAGGCGTTTGTGCTGACGGGCGTCGCGCTGGGTCCCCTGCCGTCCCGCCGGGAGGTGGTACATACGGACGCGTCCCTGACAGGGTGGGGCGCAACGTGGCAGGGGCGTGTGGTTCAGGGCGTCTGGCCGGTGCGGCAGAGGGGGCTCCATATCAACGTCCTGGAGCTCCTGGCCGTTCAGCTTGCGCTGCGCCATTTCCTGCCGGTCCTGCGGGGGCGGCATGTGTTGGTGCGGTCGGACAACACCAGTGTGGTCTATTACATCAACCACCAGGGGGGAACTCGGTCGGAGTGCTTGCTGGCAGTGGCACGAGGGCTTGTTGACTTGGGCCTATCCCCGTCTTGCGGGTTTGACCGCGATGCACATCCCAGGGACTCTGAATGTGTCGGCGGATTTCCTGTCGCGCCACGTTTCGCTGCCGGGCGAGTGGCGGCTACACCCGGAGGTAGTGGTCTCCATTTGGGGGTTGTTCGGCCGGGCTAGGGTGGATCTCTTTGCCTCTCAGGGAACGACTCATTGCCCGCTGTGGTTCTCCCTGTTGGAGTTCACCGGTCCCCTGGGTCAAGACGCGCTGGCTCACGACTGGCCCAGGGTTCTGCTGTACGCGTTCCCGCCGTTCCCTCTGATCCATCAGACGCTCTCCGGGTCCTTCAGGAGGGCCACAGGATGATACTGGTGGCCCCGTATTGGCCGGGGAGGACATGGTTTCCCTTGCTGCTCAGGCTCTGCTGCGGCTTGGCGAGGCCCCATTTAATACGGAGACTTGATTACACACAGGAGCATTCTATTTATCATCATCAGTCATTTAGGACAACATTGGATCATTCAAAGATCTTCACTGAACTTCTGGAGTGAGTTTGCTGCACTGAAAGTAAAGGGGCCGAATAATATTGCACGCCCCACTTTTCAGTTTTTTATTTGTTAAAAAAGTTTAAATTATCTAATAAATTTCGTTCCACTTCACGATTGTGTCCCACTTGTTGATTCATGACAAAAAATTAAATTTTATATCTTTATGTTTGAAGCCTGAAATGTGGTGAAATGTTGAAAGGTTGAAGGGGGCCGAAAACTTTCGCAAGGCACTGTAGATTTTATGATATACCGTAGTTCCCATAGATAAGTTTGAAACTTAGGCACCCCAGCTTTAATTGGCTCCCAGTGCAGTGCAGCCGATACAGACGATTCATGTTTGGATTTTTCTCTCTGTAGTTTATCTGCAGCACGATGAGCACAATCAGACCATCCCACACCAGTCTTCTCCCACTCTGTTTAACGTCCTGTACGCAGACAGATACAGCTGCCGGGTAAGAAGCACACTTAGTCCTGGTTTAGTCCTGTTGTAGACCTGGTTTAATCCTGGTTTGGTTCTAGTTTAGTCCTGGTTTAGACCTGGATTTGGGATTGTCCTGGTTTAGACATGTTTTATACCTAGTTTAGTCCTGGTTTAGTCCTAGTTTTGAACCTGGTTTAGTCCTGGTTTAGTCCTGGTTTATACCTGGTTTAGACTTGGTTTAGTCCTGGTTTAGACTTGGTTTAGTCCTGGTTTAGACTTGGTTTAGTCCTGGTTTCGTCCCGGTGTTAAACCTGGTTCAGCCTTGCTTTAGACGTGTTTAGACCTGGTTTAGACCTGGTTCAGACTTGCTTTAGTCTGGGTTTGTCTTTAAATCAACAGTCTATAATTTTTTCATTTTTAACTAGACCTATTATATATATCCTCAGATGTACACGTCATGTTTGACCTCTGAGCAACACTTGATTAATTCTTAATTAAAATGACAATAGACGTGATCAAGCTTATCATCCAATCAGAGAGCAGAAAGAGCCTTGTTCGGGGCCAAACACACTGGTGATAAACTGCTGCTTAAGCCACGGCTGTTTATTGTTATTTCCTCTGTCCTGAACGTCCACAGAAGTCAGACCCTCTGCCCTCTCATCCTGAAGTCCACTACACCATCCTCATGTTGAACCCGGACTCTGCAGGAAACCCACTGGACCACTTCAGCTCAGAGGAAGCAGGTGAGAGCCTCCATCACATACACTTTAGATTAAAGACCACCTACAACACATTGCATCATTTAGATTTAACAGTTTTTTTATCACAATTGAAGTGATAGAAACTTATCACTGCATATAAATACTTCAACCAATTCAATTTACAATCCTCATTTTTACTTTCAGGCTTTTAACTTTTAGGGTTCTATCTGTAAATCATAGATTCATTTGTTCATCTTCTACCACTTTATTAGTTTCTAGGGCAGGGTGGCTGGGGGTGGGGGGGGGGGGGGGGGGGGGGGGGGTAGGGGGTGACAATCAGAGCTGCCACTCAATGCTTATATCTCTCGTCTGTATATTTATATTTGATGATACTGATGGAGGGGTTCTGTCTGAGAGTATTTTGAACATTGTCGCCGACGCTGTCGTGAAACTACCATAAATGATTACGACTATTACATTTGAAATACTTATTAGTATAGATCAGGAACTTCTGGAACAAATGTGTAGCCCCGCCCCTTCTGTCTCAAACTCCTGTGTGACTCCAGTATGATGTCATTGTACCACTATGACATCACACATATATTTGATGCCTTTTAAAACAAAAGTATTGCTCATAAATTAGTTTTGGAAATGGCATGTCTGTGTTTGCATTTAGTCATTTTCAAATGACCTAAAAAACAAAACAAATTCCACTTCTTTCTCTGGTGGCAGCACAGGGAGTTACAGGCCAATAGCATGATCTACCTTTGATTGTTGTTTCAACGTGTGTCACCATGTGTACGGTATTATTTCACATTATAAAACATTAAGTTTAGTAAATAGTCTCATAATCATTTTAATGTCCAAAAATATTGCATCGTATTTCCTCATTAAGAGTTTATTGTGGCTATCCCTGCGTGGAAAGACAGAGCCTGTCAGACCGCTGAAGCTAAGCAAGGCAGAGCCTGATTATGATGAACACCAGGTGTCACAGTAGTAGTTTATCACCACCGTGTCTTTGAGGGTCTAAAAATGTGCTCCCAAAAATGTATGTATTATTACCATTATTATTATTATTATTATTATTATTATTATTATTATTATTATTAAGTGCTTCCAATTAGGGCTGGGCGATATGGCAAGAAAGTAAAATTAGTTTTATTTCCTGCTTCGATTCCTGCTTTCGATTTTGAATTGATTTTCATTAAAGTCACCAAAGACAGAGTTTGCTCTTAAAAATATTGTTTGATCTTTCTGCTCAATATTCAAGTTTAAAAACTATATTTAAGTTGTTTCCCTTTATAAGTTGTAAGTTGTCTTATAAAGGTCTTTTACAGACTGTGCTGATATTGTAAGTATAATTCACGTGCTGCTGGAACACTCACAGTATACTTCATTTGATTTCACGATTTTCAAATTTTTCACAAATACATTTTTTTCAAAAGCCGATTAATTGCCTAAATTCGATTTATTGCCCAGCCCTACATCCAATCTTCATGTTGTCATATGTGATGTCCGTGCTTGTCTCAGGTCTCCACAGCTTCTACTTCCTGCTGCTGCTGGCGTACTTTGTGGCATGTTGTATCTACGTGCAGCCGCTGCTCCAGGCACTGAGGAAGGGGGGCCCTATGCTCACGGTGCTCAGGGTCCTCACGCTGGCCCTGGGACTACAGGGACTGTCAGCTGTCTGCAACTACGTCCACATGTGCAGGTGACCTGGGAGATTCACATACTGTATGTCAGAGAGACACTCGCAGAGAGACACTCGCAGAGACACTTGCAGAGAGACACTCGCAGAGGGACACACATGCAAATGCAGATACACACAGAGACGCACACAGACACACACACACACTCGCACAGACACACGCACACACAGCTGAGCGAAGAATTGCCCACATTAATAGAAGAAACAAACTGTGTTTCAGATATTCCAGAGATGGTGTTGGATTTCCTCTGATGGGCAGCCTGGCAGAGTGTGAGAAACTATTATCTTTTTATATTTATACACAGGGGTGCCATAACTGGTTCGTACACAGGTACGCAAGTACTCATGCGCGACAAAAATAAAAAATGCTACTATCACTTGAATTCGTAAGCGCCTTTGTGTACTTCATAGAGACCAGTCCTTCTCAAACAGTGTGGTGCAATGCCAGAGGGGTGTGCGTGAACGTGGGGCACTTGCTGTTATTTGCTGTATATACTCGAACGAGATGCACAGCCTCCTGCTGCTTTCTGTCCTGGGCAGCTGCGTCCTCTTTGAATGAGGCTAGCATCATAATGGGATCATAATGTTCTCAGGACCATAGAGGACAGGACCACAGACGCACACAGAATTACTCTCTGCTTGATGTGTGCGTGCAGTGGCGCAAAAAGGGCATAAACACTGTATGCCTTGCATCGGGGCGCCAAAGGAAAGGGGGCGCCAAACACTAGAAGGAAATAAATAAATAATAATGCATTTTGGTTGTGAACAAACCACAACAGACATCTTGTTAAGATTGTTTTTTTTTGGCATACTTAAGAAAGCCATTATTTTACTTTTTAGGCTGCGAGTGGATTATCCGAACTGATCTAAACTTTAGCATAAAAAACTAGAAACCGTTGCAATGGCTGAAGCCATTGCGATTGACTGCGAAACAGATCTAATGTGGAATTTAGCTGAAAAATCCTTGCTGAAAAAAACTGTTAAAATACTTTAAACATCTTTGAAACTCCTGAAGTATTTGAAGCTCCTGATATCCTTTAAACTGTTATCCTTTATACTGGTTTACATGTAAAAACCCCTATTAAGTTGCATTATACTGGTTTACATGGAAAAATCCCCATTAAGTTGCATTATACTGGTTTACATGTAAAAACCCCTATTAAGTTGCATTATACTGGTTTACATGTAAAAATCCCTATTAAGTTGCATTATACTGGTTTACATGTAAAAACCCCTATTAATTTCCATTATACTGGTTTACATGTAAAAACCCCTATTAAGTTGCATTATACTGGTTTACATGTAAAAACCCCTATTAAGTTGCATTATACTGGTTTACATGGAAAAATCCCCATTAAGTTGCATTATACTGGTTTACATGAAAAAAACCCTATTAAGTGGCATTATACTGGTTTACATGAAAAAAACCCTATTAAGTTGCATTATACTGGTTTACATGGAAAAATCCCTATTAAGTTGCATTATACTGGTTTACATGGAAAAATCCCTATTAAGTTGCATTATACTGGTTTACATGTAAAAAACCCCTATTAAGTTGCATTATACTGGTTTACATGGAAAAATCCCCATTAAGTTGCATTATACTGGTTTACATGTAAAAACCCCTATTAAGTTGCATTATACTGGTTTACATGGAAAAATCCCTATTAAGTTGCATTATACTGGTTTACATGGAAAAATCCCCATTAAGTTGCATTATACTGGTTTACATGAAAAAAAACCCTATTAAGTTGCATTATACTGGTTTACATGAAAAAACCCTATTAAGTTGCATTATACTGGTTTACATGGAAAAATCCCTATTAAGTTGCATTATACTGGTTTACATGGAAAAATCCCTATTAGGTTGCATGATTACACTGAAGTCCTTGAAACTGCTGAAGTCCTTGAAACTGCTGAAGTCCTTGAAACTGCTGAAGTCCTTGAAACTGTTGAAGTCCTTGAAACTCTTGAAATCTTGAAACTGTTGAATCCTTGAAACTGTTGAATCATTGAAACTGTAGAAATGTCTGAAAGAGCTGAAGTCCTATTAAAATGCATGGGCCTATTAAAATGCATTGCAGAATTCTCAATGCAGATTTTTGTCCGATTGCGGAAAAACCGGAAATCGCTGAAGTCCCAAAAGTAATAGCAATAATCTCCCAAACATGTGGAACGTTTTGATGTATAACTTGTGGAAATTGTTGAAAATGTGAAAGCTGTGAAACGTGTCAAAAAAAATGACGGAATAAAGAAATACAAAACCAATGGTTGACTGCGGAAGGTTCCGCAGTCAATCAATAAGCAAGTATAAAATCTTGGTTAAAAACATAGACTGTATATATTAACGGACGTATTCACGCCTATCTCCGCCGTTCTAACTAATGGGCCAACAATTATGCTCTACTGGAGCTATCCAAAATGGCCGCGAGTGGTCCCGCCCACAAGAGAATTGTGAAAAAACACATCTGCGCACTTGCGTCAGCCGGCGCAAGCCCCATTCATTTGAACGAGAGACTTCAAAAATTCACAGCGAGTAAACCAGATTGGTCCAAAAAAATTCACCCCCCTCAGCATTGACACACATGTGGAACGGAGCTTTGGGCCAAGAGCCAGCTTTTGGACCATCCTGTAAAGACGTTTTCGAGAGGTCACCTAATGCTATATGTTAGCATTGGCTAATTCTTATTCCGGGTCCACCCCTATCGGCCCTGGGTGGTATTGCAAGCATGTCAGCGCACGTCATTTTGGTCATTTTTGAGCCGGGACACGCCCCCACTGGTTAAGAACCATGTGAACTATGGGGTGAGTTTCAAACCGAGTACCTCACTGAAACAGTTATATTCACCCCTGTTTATACATACATTTTGACATACATACATGTTTTCGAGCTGCTCCTTTTTCTGCTAGGGCTGGTTCCATTTTCTTGCTGTTAAAAATGAGATTACATTAGTATTTCTAAAGAACAATTTGTGATTATTAAAGTGAAATAAAAGCACTTCTTTGTTTTTTTACATTGATTAACCTCTATTAAGTCCTTAATAATAGTTCAATATAGTCTGTTTTGTGTGGTTGCAGTGTGGGACATGGTGGCTCAGGTCTCCATGCTCTATATGCTGCTCAGTCTGTGTGTGGGCTGGACTCTGTCCCGGCGGAAGCCCCAGTCCAGGCCTCTGCACTGGGAGCAGACCCCCATCTCCACCGCCGTCGCTGTGGGGGCCGTCATAGCTCAGGTACAACACAGACCCAGGGAATCAAATGTTCACATGTCCAGGACTGAGGCTGTAGATCTGCGACTGAGGCTGTAGATCCAGAACTGAGGCGGTAGATCCAGAACTGAGGCGGTAGACCCAGGACTGAGGCGGTAGACCCAGGACTGAGGCGGGAGACCCAGGACTGAGGCGGGAGACCCATGACTGAGGCGGGAGACCCAGGACTGAGGCGGGAGACCCAGGACTGAGGCGGGAGACCCAGGACTGAGGCGGGAGACCCAGGACTCTTGCCATATTTGACATTGATCTTCTTTCTGTGCATTCTCAGGGCCTGTTGCTCTTGTGGGAACAGATTTCAGAGGCGGACATTGACCACCACAGTTTCCACGCTTACCGGAGTCTCCCTGGGGTCCTGCTGCTGCTGCTCCGAGTGCTTCTGTCTGTGATCTTGGCCTCAGTCTTGTACCAGATCACCTCCACCGAACGCAGCACCCTCAAACGGGACTTTTACCTCAGCTTCGCCAAGGTCTGCGCATTCTGTACTCTACTCCTATCTTCATGGACAGAGGCCGTAGATCCAGGACTGAGGCTGTAGATCCAGGATGCTCTAGATCCAGGACTGACGCTGTAGATCCAGGATGCTCTAGATCCAGGACTGAGGCTGTAGATCCAGGACTGAGGCTGTAGATCCAGGACTGAGGCTGTAGGAGATCCAGGACTGAGGCTGTAGAGACCCAGGACTGAGGCTGTAGATCCAGGGACCGAAGTAACACCACTCTTACATTTCCCTGTATTTCTCTTCAGGGCTGCTTCCTGTGGTTTCTGTCTCATCCAGTACTAGTTTTAACCTCGTCCATTTTCAACGAACATCAAAGAGAAAAGGTCTGTTTGTCTCTCAAACTATTGGCAGAAATAAAAAAACGTGTGTTTATGAATATGTGTTGTAATTAAATAGTTTCCAAAAGATGTTATCAATGTTATATAGATTTTTCCTTCACAATTAACCCAATCGAAAGGGGTTGGATTGGGCAAAAGGTGGATATAATCTCAAACCATTTTTTCTACACAATACCATGCAATAACAATACTATACAATTTTAAATTAAAAAATGCACAGATATGGTATACAAAAAAAGAAAACACACAAACACGCCCAAACCGTCTTCGACCCTACACCTCTCCCCCTTTTCATCCTTTAGAGTTTTTCAGAAATGTGGAGCAGATGGAGCCCGCAAACTCTACTTAAGGGATAGAGACCTGCTCAAATCAGTAATGGGAAAAAATAAATGAAATAAAAATGTATGAAAACTTATGAAGCATTTAAGCCTGTGACAAAAGACAACTAGCTTCTAACATCTTGTCTATATTTTCTTTGTTTTGTGTCTTCCAGGTGGTCACAATCGGAGTCATTCTTTGCCAGTCCATATCCGTTGTTGTCCTCTATCAGCTTTTCCTCTCGAGGTCTCTATACTGGGAAGTGTCCTCTCTGTCGTCGGTGTCTCTCCCGTTGACCATGAGCCAGAGCAACCACCGAGGGCGCTACTGAGCACATATGCGAAACTGTGCATTAAGAAAGTGACTGATTTGAACCAGTGCTACCTCAACGCGGCGCGAGACTGGAAGCGATGTAACTGTAACGGTAGCACTAGCAAGGATGGGCAATCAGCTGGTATTTGCCATATTACTATAAAGCAGAATTAGTCCGGCATTCAGGGTGTCTTACTACAACAACAGCCAAAAAGGTGACTCTTTTAGTCTACGGGAGAGGAGGCAAGTCGCTCTATATCCAGCCTGTTTATATGCACTGGTGTAAGCTGTTAAGAGTCACTTTCTGGGCTAGCATGACCAGCAATAGCCACACCAAAACCATCTGCTCCGAACTTTCTGTGGGCTGTGTTTGGATGTGTTTGATTGGACAGAAATCAGGAAGTGCCTGCAGAAAGTGGGCACATGCTGTTTTGAGTAGTGCTAATTTACTCCTTTAATCTACTTTTACAGCAATTGAAAAACATGCAGTGCAGTAAAGGCCATCTTGGATTTGGGCTTCTGAATTGAGACAAAGTACGTCCTGGTAACTTTTTATGGGATGGGGCAGCTCCAGGTTTGGTCAGATGACATGTAACACAGTTGCAGCGGCACGGTGGCTGAGTGGATAGCACTCTCGCCTCTCAGCAAGAAGGTCCTGGGTTCGAATCCCAGTCGGACCAGGGCCTTTCTGAGTGGAGTTTGCATGTTCTCCCCGTGTCTGCGTAGGTTTCCTCCGGGTACTCCGGTTTCCCCTACCACTAAAAATGTGTCCAATAGTTCTAGCATGCGCCTCCTGTACTGGCGACCCCGCTCCCATCTCTGTGTGGAGTGAGAGACAAATGCCCAAAAATTAACAATTGTAAACCGCTGTGAGACTCAGATCTGCAGTGAAAAGGCGGTATATAAATAAAGATTACTTACTTACTTACAGTTGAAAGATGTCTATAACAGACACGTTGGTAAATGTTGATAACGAGGACGGAGAAACTATCTTTATATCGGATGCGTTCCTAGTTATGTGATCTGTGATTGGTTGGCCAATTTCTGGCTGGAGGTACTAGGAACAAATGTAGCTGATCTTTTCTGCTTTCACATGTGTCAGAAAGTAGAGGGCCTGGACGATAGGCTTAGGTTTGGCAGTATTCTCCTCAGTAGAGAGCCAGCTTCTTAAGAATTTTCCTCTGAAATCACACCTGTTCCACAGCCTGAACAGAAAATCCACCCAGGTCCTGGAAAGTTATGAATAAATTTGCCTCCCTCTGCTTTCTCGCATCTAGATATAAATCCTTCTATCATTGTGACTATTCAATTAAATTTAAATTCAATTAAATTTATTCTTGTATTGCCCTAAATCAGTCATGGAAAAAGTCTATGAGCGACAGTAGCTCAGTTGGTAGAGCATTGGCCTTAAGGCCAGAAGGTCGTGGGTTCAATTCCCACCTCCACACCTTCTCCACCGACTCCCACTGATGACTGCTGTTGTTGTGTCCTTGGGCAAGACACTTAACCCCACTTTGCCCAAAGCCCCCACTGAAAGATCAAGGCTATGCTCACACTCAGAGAGCAGCCGTCCTCCTGTGGACTCACCACCTGCAGAGGGTCAGTGAGGGGCTGGTGCTATGAGACTTGGGTGGCATCTCTGATTGCCACCCCCCTGACCCAGAAATGGATTCAAAACCGTTGAATTCACCAACACAGATCAGGGAATCAAACAATTCAAACACAAGAAATAAAATAGAAAACTCAATGGTCCATAGGGGCAAGTGTTGATAAATGGCCATAAATGTTGTTGGATGTTGAGGCGCTAACAAACCCTCCTGCATCGGCAAGGAATGTATTTGTGTATATCAATTCATCAATTACAGATCAGATAATACAACAATTTGAGCACAGGAAATTCAATAAATAGGATTGGTTCATAGGAGGCAGGATGACTACTGTCCAGTGTCCACAAATGTTAATAAATGTTCCAGATCGTCACTGTCCTTAGACACTCCTGCATCGGTAAAGAACGTGAGGAACCTCGGCAAGGTCTAAAATTACTTATGAAAAGACCATGGGGTGACGTCATTTCTTATGGTTTGAAGCTGCGACTCAGCAGCTCAGTGTTTGCTGTTTGTTTTACTCTGATTGACTCAAATAAATTATAAATGATCATCTAGAACCTTCCCTCAGCCAAAACAAAAGTTTTGCAGGGCCTTGAATTTAGACTTTTTCCATGACTGTACAAACCGGGTCTAAACCAGTGGTGTCAAAATCATTTTGGTCAGGAGCTAAAAAGTGTTTGAAGCTCGTCTAAAGTAATCTTTGTTATTTTGACAAAGATTACTTTAAATTAAGATGAGTTTGGAGATTATTTTCTGCTAGATTTTTCTGAATAAAGTTAAAGAATTGGCCAATGATCTTTGATCAACACTGCAAGTCGATAGTAATACGGGGGCCACTAAAAATGGTCTTGTCGGCCGCATTTAGCCCGTGGGCCTGGGGTTTGAGACATCTGGTCTAAACCGGAGACCGAAGCCAAAACATATCAACTATATATCATCTGAATTCAAGACGATTTTCATCTTTTTTCCTGAATCTGTAGATTTGAATTATAGGAGAAACATGTTAACCAAATATATACAATGGTGATTTCAGGTTTGTCCACATTAAGTTGACACGAAGCGACTGTAACTGCTTGACTTGTGTTTTGTTCCATTCATGTCTTGAACTTGGTTACATTCAATTAACAGGAAAATAGTTGCATTTTAAGTGTTGTGTTTTTTTTTTAAAGTGATTTTCAGTTTCCATTTTAAAGTTATTATTATTATTATTATTTATTTTATACCAAACCCTGTGAAAAAAGGAAGCTGTGATTTCAACATGTAATAAACTATGATGTAAAAAGGTTGTATTTCTATTATTTCAAAGACTTCAACTCATGATTTTGTGACTATTTTAGTTTTATTTACTTGAGGAACAAAGATTATTTTACTTGTTTGTTAAATATTTCAAAGCAAGCAAGAGCATTGTCGTACAAATGTTCAATCTTATATCACAATTTTCGAGTCTTGTACATTTTGTACAAGGAAAGGAGCTGAGTTTGTGGCACTATAGTGTGGAATTAAAGAAAACCGAAGGATTTAAGAAGAAGAAAAGTTCAGGATGACAAGGGACACTAAAATCCCCACAAAATCCGATATCTCTTAAAGGAATAGTTCACCGTTTTTACATACTGACAAATGTTCTTACCTTACCTTAGACTAGTTAATACGTATCTGTCTGGTCTTAGTCCGTGCGCTCTGTCATGCAAACGGAGCAAAAACGGGAGCACAACCGCAGCCTCCTCTGTATATTTTGTAGCACCAAAAGGTAGCTCCCGCTAGAAGCTACCAAACTCTTCCAAGTGTTCCCTATTAAATGTATATAGTTACGTGACGTGTTACACTGCAAAGTATAGTAACACAGAAATGTAACAGTCAATTTTCTCAGCGGATAAAACGGGTACTATATTGTGAGGCGTAGTAATCTGAGGAGCGGATTAACTTCTCTCCGGAGACTTCTCTCTCGCTCACTTCCGTCAATACATAGTTCCCACAGACCAATGAATGTCACATGACCTCCTCGGAGACGCCATCTTTGATGGCACGCTGCTGTGTTTGTGCATTCCATTAAACAGAAGAATGAGACTGTTTGGCAAAGGTACATTTGTATTTGTATTCATGTGTTCCTTTGATGATAGGTTTCCTCTCATTACATTGTTCACACAATGATCATTTGAAAGTTACATATCATTTAAACATTGACATGAAAGGAAAGGAGCTGGTAAGAAGGAAACAGTTCTTATATTGTTCTGTTTGTTTTCAACTTCATACAAACATGTGCTGTGATAAATAAAACAACACATACCATGAGGAGACAGTGGTGTTGTTGACTGGTACCAGCACCACGTTGGTCTGACCCAGGACCACCCTGCTGTCCTCCAGCAGCTGTCTGAGGTGGCTGTAGACGCTGACGATGGACTGTGGGATGGGCATGGTCTTGCCCTTTACGTCCTTTGGCCTGTTGCGTGCCTGATCAAACTCTTTGGCCAGTCTGAGGCAAACACACTCACTGACTCTGTTTGCTTGATCTGCTTCCTGGATCACTCTCCTAAATGGCTCAGGAAGAAAGCCTTTCCAGTTAATGGATGGTGCTTTAAACGGAGTGTGGGGTGGCATGGCAGAACTGCATGAGGGGAGCGGAGATGGTGCTGGTGATGGTGCTGGTGATGGTGTTGGAGATGGTGTTGGTGCTGGTGTCGGTGGCAACACAGTTGGTTTTTGTGGGGATGGCTTCATGAGTGCTGCATAATGAGCCTGTTGGATGTGAGTCAGAAGACCAACAGCACCCTGCACCTTGGCCCCGCAGCTGTCACAGGTCTCCTCCGTGTGATGGTCAAGCAGATGCTGTGAAAAGTGCTCTCCATCCACAAGCTGCTTGCACTGGAAGCACTGCACTCCGGGTGCTGCAGCTGATGCTCCTGCCTCTGTGTCTCCTCGGACTCCCTCTTCCTCTGTGCTGACTCGGATGGACGCAGCAGCACCACTGGACCCAGCAGCACCACTAGACCCAGCAGCAGCACTGGTCCCAGCCCGACTGGACCCAGCAGCACTGGATGCAGCAGCACCACTGGACCCAGCAGCACTGGACCCAGCAGTACTGGACGCAGCAGCACCACTGGACGCAGCAGCACCACTGGACCCAGCAGCACTGGACCCAGCCCGACTGGACCCAGCAGCACTGGACGCAGCAGCACCACTGGACCCAGCAGCACTGGACCCAGTGCCTGATGACAGATGTGCTGGCTAGGAGAGAGCACAGAAAATCAACACCAGAGGAAACAGCAAACAATCAATCAATAAGTAAATAATGAGTCCTACCTTGTGGAACCCGCAGGTGCACTGAAGGCTTCTCCCAAACAGATCCTTCGTGTTGCTCTGCAGGGGGCAAGCATCGATCCTCTCCAAGGCTTTCTTCCATTTTTTGGCCCCCTGGCCGTTTGCCAGTGGAAAAGTGGTAGAGGCCCTGGGCATATTTGGCACAGATGTCCCTCCAGTAATTCTCTGGCTTTCCTGTCTTCGTCATCTGCATCCATTGAATATAAAAGTGGTTAGTGTCAAACTACACGTGAATAGTTAGCCATGTGCAGCAGAGTACAGTAGATATCAAACCAAAGTCACTAAACATGAATAAATGACCATGTTAAGTAGCCATGTGTAGCTAGTGTAGCTAGTGTAGTGAATACACTACAGTAAGTAGCTATGTATTGGAGATATTGATTCTGGGGCAGATCAACTGTTGGCTCTGCTCAGACACATGACAAAGAAATAAACACTGTGGCACACATCAAGGGCAAAATCTGAGCTCATATTGTATATTGTTCACATTTTCCTGTTGTGCACCTTTTTGTGAAGCTCTTTTGTCAACAACAGTTGTTAGTAGTGTGCTATATAAATACATTTGTTTTGATTTGATGACCAGGCTCTATTAAAGAAAAAATACTATTCCTCTGACCAGCAATAATAATAGTCATTTATAGTGTGGAATCTATATGTGTTGGACTTTGGAGCTCTGTAATTACTGTATTACTGCTAAACATAATTATCTGAAGGTATTTGTTCTAACCCACATTGCTACTAGTCATTAATGCGTCAATAATATCTAAGTGATGACATCTCTGTTCTCATCCACATTGACACACATCATATTCAAAGTTCTGTCTGCCTTTGTTCATCTGGAAGGACTCGTAAATAACCTGTAACTGGGGTTACAGTAATAAAAATAATATCTGGGGTTACAGGTGCGATCGCGGCTGTGTCTGTTCTCTACAATAGTAATAATATAGTAATAATGGTAATAGGAATAACAGGAATAAGAATAATATCTGGGGGGGTTACAGGTGCGATCGCGGCTGTTCTCTACAATAGTAATAATATAGTAATAATGGTAATAGGAATAACAGTAATAAGAATAATATCTGGGGGGGTTACAGGTGCGATCGCGGCTGTGTCTGTTCTCTACAATAGTAATAATATAGTAATAATGGTAATAGGAATAACAGTAATAAGAATAATAGCCACACAGTGCTAATACGTGCACAGTCAGAAGTTAGGTTTGAAAAGCGGCTCCGAGACGCAAAAGTTGAAATATAAGTTTAATAACATGCTAATACGATAGTCTAATTTTTTCCCACAGTTTAGCATTGGGCTAATATGTGGTGTTTACGTTCGGCTCATGTGTGGGATCGCGATGATATTCAGTTTATATGAGGTGTTTGTGAGAACTAATCAGGTGTCATCACTTACCGTTATCGCTGTATATGCCGTAAAGATGGCGGTGACTCCAAACTTTTCCATTCGCTCTAGACACGCCCCCATTTTCGTCAGGTAACGTCACGTGACCTTCTGTATGTTCGGACTGCGTTCGGACTTTGCCGAAAAGCCTTTGATCTCGTTCGGATTGTGTTCGGACCTCGTTCGGACCTTTTGTTATGTGTTAGGACCTTGTTCGGACCTGGAGACAGTCCAGTGACTCTCGTGACGTAATACACGCGACAGCGATTAAAACTGCTTTCGGGCTCGTTTTATTTCTATGTTTTGCTTAGATTTTAGCTTTAAATACTACCAACCGATAACGCTGCTCACCTGCGAGTATTGCTGGGTTTCGATCACGTGTCCAGTGGGCGGAGCCACACAGCAGCGGGGGTCAGGAAGTGTGTCGTCCTGTTCAAAACAAACGCGCGATGGAGGAAAGCGGCTATGCTAACGAACTTCATGGACTGGAAAGGGCCCGATATGATGACAAAATCAAGTTACATGTAGGGTTTGACCCGTATAGTGTAGAAAAAAACGAATGGTCGTACGAGTTGGAGCATTTACCGGCTGTTCAGGCGATGGACGTCATTAATTATCTCGTCCTCCAAACATCTTTTTATACAGCGAACCAAATGAAAGCTTTCAAAAGCTTGGAAGTTTATAATTACTGTATTCCCGGTTGGGTTAACCATTTGGGAAGCAAAGAAGCTAAAAATGATTCCCGCATTGTTTTTGCACAGGTGAGTAGCGCTTTTGTGGTATGTATTGGTGACCTAACGTTAACGTGATGCCATCCAAAATACATAACGTACATAATTTTCCATCTGCAAACTCAATTAAGTTCAAGTGAAATGTTGATGCATACTGTATTTCTTAATGTAGGTCAACCATTCGCAGAGATCATCTGACAAACCTTTGAAAGCCTGGTCTGTAGCTAGAGAAAGTGGAGAGGTGGTCACAACACATTGCAACTGTATGGCAGGGTACGACATTTAATTTTTTTCTTTCAGTGGATGTATTTAAGCTGTAAATACATAATGTGCACATAATAATAATGTGTGTCAAGCGGGAGGATTGGACCGAGGACACCATCAAAAATGCACGCATCTGCGGTGCCCATTTCATATCAGGTACGTGTGGTTTTCATAAATAACAGTTTGAAAAGCGTGTACTCGCAATGTGATGCTGCCAAACGTGAATATACAGTATAGTGGCTAAAAACAAAACGTGTGTGTGCAGGAGAAGTGTCGCTGGACTGGCAAAGTCCTGATTTCGTGCCTTCAGTCTTTGTGTACACCAAACAACGCCAGAGACCCGAGGCAAAGATGGAAAGGTATAGATAACTAGGCTAATATATCTCAATGCTTTGGCCCCTCTTTATTTTTTTTACGTGTTATGCCCTTCAATTGCCAAACTATCTAATATTCTTTGACGCTAGCTTTGAAATACTGACGTATAAAAGGCAGGTGCAGTGCAAATGTTTATCCACAAGGAGTCTACAATGTAAGTTATTGTTGTTGTAGATACCATCGGAAAAGGAGGAGAGATGACAGGACAAACAAGTCACCAGTTCAACCTGGTCCTTGTGACATTCCAGAAGAACAAGGAGATACCAACATGGAACACTGCCATGGTAAAATATTTTTATTATAATTAACTGATTGTTAGAGATTCAATGGTTGTGAAATTTAAGGAAAAGTTAAGTAATTAAAACAAAATTCCAGGTCTGAAAATGGTTTTGAATTAACAGAATGTTTAGTTTAAGTTGCAGTCAGTCAGTGGGTTTTGTTTTTCAATGCTACAACTCTTGTCCATCTCCATCTCCTGCACAGTGGTCCAGGGTTCTATACGTTTTAGTAAGCAAGAAACATTATTAGTATACAGGTGCTCGCCATATAAGAGAATAGGCTTATATGTAACAGCAGATACTCCACTTTATACTTACTGTATTTGTGGTGCATATGCTAACTGTTTGCTCTTTTATATTTAAGCACAAGAAGATATCCCAGTCCCAAGGAGTGAATATGATGATCTCAGCCTGCGGCACCGTCAACTTCTGGATGAATATGTCAACCTGCAGCAGGAGTTTGATAAACTGCAGGCTGAGAATCAAATCTTAAAAGAAGAACTTGAGAAATCTAGGTTTTCCTCTGCAACTATTAAGTCCAACACTGAAAAACTGATTTTTTTCACAGGACTTACATTTGTTTTGTTTCAGTGGCTTCTTACAAAGATATCGGGCAGGATAGAGAGAATTAGCCAAAAACTTAGTCTAGAGGACCACTTATTGGTTGTTCTTATGAAATTAAGGTTGGGCCTAAGTAACATTGACTTGGCAAATAGATTCAATGTATCCAAAACCACCATATCAAATATTTGTCGGAACTGGATACCTGCCATGGCCATGATCCTCAGGCCGCTCATTAAGTGGCCAAGCAAGGGAGCTATACTTAAAAATATGCCCAAAATATTCAAGCGTAACTTTAAAAAATGCCGATGCATCATAGATTGTACAGAAATTTTTATAGCCAGACCCAGTGATTTGACAGCTAGGGGCCAGACATGGTCAAATTATAAACACAACAACACAATCAAATATTTGATTGGCATTACTCCAGCAGGGGCTATTTCTTTTCTGTCTCCTGGTTGGGGTGGGCGGGTGTCAGACAAACAGATAACAACAGAATCTGGTTTCATTAAACTGTTGGAGCCTAAGGACGAGGTATTAGCAGATAGGGGGTTTCTTATAAGAGATCAACTTGCAGCTCATGGTGCAACTCTTCGTATTCCTCACTTCACAAAAGGAAAGAAGCAACTCTCTGCAAATGAAGTAGACACATCTCGACAGCTTTCTCGTGTTAGGATCCATGTTGAGCGAGTCATTGGTCGGTGGAAGAGCTTTAAGATTTTGCAAACTGTAATACCTGTGTCACAAGTGAAATTGTTAGATGATATTGTTGTTGTGTGTGGTGCCCTGACAAACTTGTGTAAAACTGTTGTTCCAAAATAAGTAACTACTGAAAAACTGTACAAAGAAAGGATTCTAGAAAATCTTAGAACATTTAGTTTGCAGCTCTAAATTGTCATTGTACTGTATATATATTTTATTACCTTCACGTAAAATGTATTTACTTCTTGTGTGTGTTAGTATTAGATAGCAATATGGCCTACGTGCAGGACTGTACAAGGACTCCATGTTATGACTATGATGTGACTGTCTCTTTGTGACGCGTATGTCTTTCGATGTGTGACGTGACAATGACTATATAAACTGTGTACTGCCTTTATTCTGTCTGAGAGAAAGAAACAGAGTAAACCAGTGGAACTTGAGAGAAACTTAAATAAACTTCCAGAGTTTGGCACACCACGATCCGTCTCTGTCTGTTGAATCCTAACAGATTTGGTGGAGAATGCGCGGCTCAGTGTGCGCCATTCTCTGGATTGTTTTGAGGGAGTTTCCTCTGTTTCTTTTTTTTCGGCGTGTGGGAGCAACAGCACGTTATCTGGAAGGGGAGAAATCCCAGCGGACGCTGAAAGGGCTCGCTTTTGGATGGGCTTGCTCTTGCTCCCTCACTTTCTCTGTTTTGTTTTTTAAATTGAATATTCCGACGCGGAAAAGAGGTTGGCAGACCTCTCGGAAAGTCCTTGGTACCTGTTTGACAAGAATAAGGTAAGCAGACACCTTTTTATATGTAAAGTCTGTATAATTGGATATTAGCTAAATTTTGGTCTGTTTTTGGGGTCTGTCAAACTCTCTAAATTGTATGTGAGAAAAGTCTCGGGGTTAAAGTCCCTTTGAGAAAAGTCTCGGGGTTAAAGTCCCTTTGAGAAAAGTCTCGGGGTTAAAGTCCCTTTGAGAAGAAGCTTCAGGGTTAGAGTCCCTTTGAGAGAAACCATGGTGTAAAAATAAAAAGTAATTATAAAAAGGGAAACGTGTAAAGGAGGCCTTTGTTACAAAAGCTTTGAAATTGACGAATTTCAGGCTGATAAATGACAAAAGTAAAGAAGTAACAATATTTCAGTGATCACGGTTTAAATTACATACAGAAAAAGGGAGTTTTTGTTTTTTTGGAGTGAACAGAGTTCACCGGAGAATGCCGAGTTTTATCTAAAGTTGAGCTATGAGAGCTTTCGTGAGTTATTTACATTTTTTGCCGAGTTTTATCTACAGTTAAGCTATGAGAGGGTTGTATCCAACAGTTGTTTTTGTTTTTTAGAAAGAGATTTTGAGTTTAAACTAGTTTGCTACCTCAATAAAATAGAAGCGTAAACGTTAAAGAGAAGAGTGCCTTTTGTTACTAGTGTGGAAAGTGATCACTTCTAGACTTGGATGACAAAAGTATAAACTACAAGTTATATTCGCAAAGTAATCTTGAAAGTTATTCTTCTTTCTGTTTTTGCTAAAACACTGCTTTCTGCCTGTGTGTGCGTCGCACTATCTTGCTGCCGTTGTCAGGGAAACGGCCCCCTCCTTCGCTGCTCTGGCTCTGAATCAGAGCAAAGCTACTGCTTTTAGGATTTAGGCTTTTCATAGTTGTTATTCAGTTAAATTTGCGAAATTTGCAATTGAACCTTGTGTTATGACACAGTTAAACGTTTTTAAACACCATTTAGTAAATATAAGTTTTGAATTAGTATGTTTTTGAAACCCAAATATTAGTACAAAAAGCTTTGCTTTTCTTTTTAAATCTGCTGCTTATTTTTGAGTCCATTATTGTATCTCTGATATATTTCATAGCTGTTTGTGAGAATTTTTTTTATGTTTTTATTTTAGTTACAAAAGCCATTTTTCAAATCTGTGTTAAAAAAACTGTGTTAAATCTGTGTTAAAAGTGATTATTGATTATAGACTTCGTCTAAAAAGAAAGAGGGAATTAGGCTGTAAAAGTATTATTAAGTTAAACTACCCAATTCACCTTGCAAGTGGTGACTTTTGTTTTTGTTTTGACTACACGCCTGACCTTACTGTTGCTGATGCACACAGCAGAGGAGCCTGGTCTAAAATGTGCTCCAATTCATACTGACTTCATTTGAAAAATGCTGCAATTATTTTAAATTAGTAAAATAAATGATGAGATAAATGTTCATGGATAATTAATCACACAGTACAAAAGTATATAATACATATTTTAAAGTTTAAAAAGGTTTTTTTAGATTTGAGTCTTGTTTTTTTATATTAAGAGTTTCTGGTCTTAAAAATGTCATCATTAGTAAGATAATAAGTAATCTTTTATTTACATAGCGCTTGGGAAAACCCAGAGCGCTCCAAAATTGTTTTGACTTCAGAGAGAAAAACAATCTCATTCGCATACTGATATCTATTGTTTTTTTAAATTGGCCGTCTCAAGGATTGTTTTTCAGACTCTGCCACACTGTACAGGGTCACTGCTAGACACTGGACAGCGCAACGCCCACCCAGCCACAGGCCACAGAGCTAAGAGCAAAGGGCAACAATGCCACCTCTACGCCCCTCCCCCCACTACAGAAGTAAGTGGGAGTGAGACCGGGGCCATGAAAGTGGAGGTTTCTGGAGGCAGTGATGGGTGGAGCGTCAGGTAGAGACCTAGAGGCAGTTGAAAGTGTGTCCAGTTGGTTTGCATCACCACAGTGTGACCTTTGACACCTACGGGTGGTTCGAGGAGTCTGGAGACACAATTCCAAAATTCACACACACACACATACACTCACAACATTCACATTTACATATAGATACATGAAAAAGCAGAACATGAGAAAAAAGCATTTTAAAAGTTTACTCCAATGTAAACAAATATTTTTAATTGTCTATCACTTGAATCTTTAGTTGAATCAGTATTTTTTGAGACCAGAAATGTTCATTTGAATTCTATATTGTCATGGACTTAATTGACGTCTGTCCTGACACTTTTGATTTGTTGATTTTGTACTGTGTGAAGTAATTACATTGATTAGAATTAGATCTGATAAAAACACAAATTAGAGAAGTAAACTGAATCATTGCGCTTGCTTTTTGTCTGAGGGACATTAGCAACAGCATGAATAGAAATTGTGTTAAAGTAGAATCAAAGTGATTTAACCATAGAGAGTAACTACTGCATTACAAGCTGTGTACAGGAACTGTGACACTGCACCATTGACCAGAAGTGCATCGCAAATGACCTGATGTGCTTCAAGTGAAAAGACTGTATCTGGAGATCCTGATGTGCATCTGGAGAGACCAAAACCATGGCTTGGACCCTACTGATGACCAAGATGACATCTCTCTATGACCTGACCTGATGACGACTGAGACTCACCCTCAGGGGACTCTGAGGACCTGAGGATCTGAGAGAGAGAAAACTGGGGAGTGATGTTTATATTTTTGAAATCATACATAGATGAGTGCTAAATGAGAGAGATACTCATGATTCTTTCTTTTGTTTTTGTTTGTCCCTAGCTTCTGGACATCTGATGATCTATTGGACACAGACATTTGCAGAACAAGAACCAGCCAATGAAAACGTCTATTGCTGATGCTATTGCTACAACCAGAACCTGTGACCAAATGCAATATACATGTTAAGTATTCAGACATCTGACAGACAAAAACTTTTGAAAATGATAAAGTATGAGTATTGTAGCGTTTTATTAGATGTTAAATAGTAGTAAAAAAGTAGAATTTGATTTCCTTTGTTTTTCATAAACACATTTCCACATAAGAGTTAAAATAGTACCCTACAATGTTATCCTTTTGATAGATCAGCTATAATATTAGAATCAGAGTTATGTTAGATTAGAATAGTTTTTAAACTATAGTGAATAGTAAAAGTAAAGTACACAGTCTAAGATTGAAAAGTGAAAACAATACAGTGAAGTGTAGTGTAAACAATTAGCATTAGAATAAAAGTATAGAGTAATAAAAGTTAAATCAGCTTCTAATTGAGACTCAGCTCGGTTTTTGTCTGTGTTTTGACTGAATCTGCTGAGTTCTTGTGTGTCCAATAGTGTGTTTGTTTGTTTTTATTTTTGATTTGTTTTTTGTTTGTTTATTTACTTTATTTTTGTTTGTTTATTTGTTTTTTGTTTTTTTTTCCCAGGATAGAGGATAACATCCACTGATATTGATTTGATGATTATGAGTTTAATGCACACATTTTCTTTG